AAAGAGGACTGGGTTCTGGTGACTGATTCTAAACCCAGTGAAGTCAACAGGAATATTTTCTTTCACTTCCACAGCATTTTGATTAGACCCTTGGAGAGGACTAGCACTGATAATCTGAAGCACTATAAATTAACCAGACTGCGTCTGCAAAATGTGCATATTCTGCCTAGAAGTAGACAAATTCAGTACATACTATTACTCAGTTGTCTCAGGATAAAGCTATTTTATCTTTCAATCAAATATTATCTTCTTTCTAAAATGTTTGTTTCACCTTAAACTGTATCTTTGTCCTGAGAAGTCTCAAACAGGGCATGGCTGGTGTTCCTTTTCTTCCTTCTCTCCAGAAGCAAGAGCTTTCCTTTCTCTCCTTACCCATCCTTTTCTGATCTCTCTGGCCCTTGAGCAGGTCCCATTGTAAACATCCTTATTACCATACACCCATGGTGGCAAAGCTTGCTTTTTGCAGATATTTCTCCATTTAATTCACACTATTTCTTGTACTAATACATGTTGAAACTTGTTTGTGTATGAAGTCCTATACCTAAGCTCTCTTCTTTCCTTGAGGAAACTTGAGTGATTCCCAGTTACAGTTAAGTGTCAGCGAGTGAGAAAAATACGTCCGTGGTCTGTGGACGCAGGCTAAGGGCATTAGGGATTTCTCGTTCACTGGTAACACCAATCAGCACATATTCAGAAAAGAATCACATATTTCTCACAGGATTATTCAGGATCATTTCAGACAGGACCTTTCTTTTACAGGATAAATATTTGCGAATCAGAAAAAGCTGAAATTTAATGCCTTAGAGTGAACACTTCCAGATATTTCTATGGAATTGATATTGTGAACACATATAACTGTATTTTATTTATATCCAGTGCAGCTGTTGGTCAACACAGTAATATATAGGCTTCCAACTATTAAAAAATATAGAACCATCCAATATTCATCGACCATAAACTTACTGTGCTTTACACAACAAAACAACAAATAAGAAGTTGTAACATTAGAGATAGAGAGGTTGCTTCCTGAGCATAGAATAGGCATATTGTTCAAGATCTGTTTTGTCTTCTGATAAATTTCAGTATTTGGTGGAACAGAAGATGATAACTGCATGTGTTACTTTCACCTGTAAATTATCTTCCTTATGCTGAAGGACTCACACAACATACTTGCAAATATAGCTAACTGCTAGTTGTTTCAGAGAGGTACATGAGGTAAAGGATACTTGGAAAGGTTGGAAGATGGCCTGATGGACAGAACAAAGACTCACAAATTAGCATTTGCTAATTATTTTCTTGCCACTAATGACTTAGTGTGTCACCTGGGGCAAATCCCTTATCTGCTCTGTACCTTATTTCCTGCATTTGCGAAATAGAATTAGCCAAAAAGAATCTCATTAAATGCAATTAATGTTAGTAAAGTGTTTTGAGAACGTCATACAAAAGGTGCTAGAAGAGTACAATCTCTCATCATATTGTACTGTTTCGGGATCATTTGACGCCCTTCTGAAATACATCTCACTCACATAAAATGCAACATAAAGCCACACAGAAAGAATGCACTTAGGAATTAGTGCTAGTAGTGACGCCTACCCAACATACTGCCTTCCCAAAGCAATTATGATTTCAGGTATACAGATAAACTGTAAATGTCCTTGATGAAATTTGTTGAGGACACAATGTACTTTCTATGCAGGGAGTACCCTAACTTTTAAACCACTGGCTTGGTTTTTGATTCATTCACTGGATTATCAGCAGGGCTTAACCAACAACTGGCTCACCTTTGAGATTTCTTATCCAAGTACTGATCCTGCCCAGTCTTGTTTGGTTTATTATGAGTTCTGATTAGATCACTTCCTTAGATGACACACTTAAGTAGTTTCAATTTTTATTTGTAGAAATGGAACACTTAGTACCATTTGTAATTGAAAGCAGATTTAATTGCTAATATTTCATTACAAGATTTTTTTGGCCTGTGGTCCACAGAATTACCAATTAGTACTGATGTTCTGGGGCACAGCTGTCCCTAGGCTGCACCTCCTGTCACCTTGTTGCTTAGCTTGAGGCCATGTAGCGGTTATGTACTTTGTTGCTCAGGGAGTAAGCAAGACAAAGCACTTATTTCGGCATTTGTCCTAACAACTAACTTCCAACTTGTTAACTCAGGACAGTAAGAGTAAATGTAAACATGCAATTGCATTTTTTTGCTGTAGTCTGAACTACATAGAAGATATGATTTGGGCACTGGTGTAATCTTGTTATCTGTCTCCTTTTGGTCATATCTCCAAAGTACATTTGAAAAGCACTGGTTCGTTGTAGCACTTCATACATGTACAATATATCAAAGTACTCAGGAGGTGAATGCAAAAATTCAAACTAAGTAAAGATTCTTGAAACCGTTTATATTGTTGCTTTCTAGTGGAGATGTTGCAGGAGATTTTTGTTGGGCTTGTTTCCAATGGGCTTGTCCAGTTTTACTGTGGACTTTCTGTTGTCTGCAGATTGGCCTGTTCATGAACAACAGCATTTGTTCAAGGGGACCAATTGTTTTAGATTTAAAATGTCACAATCCTACTTTTACTGGAACTATGTCATCCTCTCTTACTTTGCTGTCCAGGTATTTAGGTTTGGTTTTGCTTTTTGTTGTGAATTCTCAAATATCTCAAATATGGGATATATATTTGAGTATTTAATTGGGGGTTATATTTCTAGATTTTCTTTGCCAGTTTTATGAAAGAACTTCCATAAAACTTCATCCAGAAAAGGTGTATTTGGAATGGACTATGTGGCTCACAAGAATTCTCAGTGCTTAGCAGCCTTCCCATCATTTTTTTTCCCATATTTTCAGATGTGTGCAGCCTCTTTCCTCTGCCCTTTCATTAGCATCCATCCTCCATCTAAGCCCTCTATCTCCCATTTTCCCCTGCCTTCCTTTTCACTCCTTTCTCTGTGCTCCTCATTTGCCACCTCACTCTAGTTGGCTCCATTTTCCCAAAGGCATTCCCCTTTATCTTTCTCCCATCTCAACCACCACCTGTTGGTACTTCTTTCTCTAGAGCCCTGATTAAGAATGTAGGTGATATCCTGCTTATTTGCACATGTATATGCATATATAAACATATATGGATATGGAGACAATTATATGGAGGACATTTTTTTTTTTCTAGTGATGATGCACAAGTTGGAAGGAACGAAACCTGGCTTTTGAGCGAGAGTAGTGAAAAAGAATAATGCTTACTCCGAATGACAACCTCAGAAAATACACTTGGAATGCTTCTGCACCTTTTTTTACATCTAAAAAATAGAACTGTAATTTTAAAGTTTTCCTTTGTATTTTCTCAAAGCCCTGTATAGTGTCATACATCAGAAAACTCAGATAGTTCCTTCCAGCAGCGTCTAATAATACCTTCAAAATAGAAATTAATTGCATTAGGGAAATAAAGTGATCAAGATGCTAGCAGATAGCCTACTAGGCAAGGTGAACCTCTGATCTGATATATTATTGCAGTTCAATTATTTCCGCATCTCAGACCTGTGGGAGAGATCATTTATCAAATGTGGACTACAAGTTTTCAGAAGACGTACTTAGCTTTTTTCTTGGCTTCTTGGCTAACCTCCTTAAGTTAAAGAATAATTATTGTTAGTCATTTTGTCATAGTGTAGCTGTCCTTTTTCATTTCATGTAATAACAAACTGTTCTGCGTCTCAGATTTTATTGCAAAGTGTAAAGGTGGTTCATACTAGAAGTTTATCGCATGTAGTAACAGATATTCCATAGGTTATTTATTACGAGTGAAACTCGCTGAAGTTCAGGAGTACTCAGACTTTTTAAAGGGATTATGCAGTAGGATCCAAATGGTGTGCAGTGGATATCTGACTCTCCTTTTTCTGTTCTCTTCTGGTATTGCATTGAACATTGAGAGTTGAGGTTGTTCAGCCTGGAGAAGAGAAGGCTCTGGGGAGACCTTATAGAAACCTTACAGCACTTAAAGGGGGCCTACAGGAAAGACAGGGAGGAACTCTTTATCTGGGAGTGCAGTGATAGGACAAGAGTAATAATTTTAAACTGAAAGAGGGTAGATTTAGATTAGGAAGAAATTCTTTACTGTGAGGGTGGTGAGGCACTGGCACAGGTTGCCCAGGGATGTTGTGGATGCCCCCTCCCTGGACCTGTTCAAAGCCAGGTTGGACAGGGCTTTGGGAAACCTGGTCTGGTGGGAGGTGTCCCTGCCCATGGCAGGGGTTGGACTGGATGATCTTGAAGGTCCCTTCCAACCCAAACCATTCTATGATTCTATGATTGCGAGTGACCTAGAGCACAGCTGGGTAAGAAATACACAGTCTGCATTAAGATGAATCATAGCACTCACAGGTTTAGTTTAAAATAGTAATATTCTCCAATATTATGTTACAGTAGAAGTTAAGAGTCTTTTCCGTAATTCCCGTCCAGCTTTCCCCCCTTGATTTAGTCTCCCCAAGGAGCACAGCCTTCACCTGCAAAGAACAGGTTTCCTACCAGAAAAGCAAACTCTTACTGAAACTTCCTCATACTGTTGACTAAGTTGATCATTGCTCATGGCTCAGAGACTTCAAATTTTCTTTGCATTAACTGTTGACATTCACACATCAAGGCCTTTTAAATAAATGTGTATGTCAGCAGATAAACTGAAAGTAGGTTAACATTGGGGAAGGTTACATTTTACTTAACAAGGGCCATTAATTTGTTAGGTCTGCCTGTATTTGAAAGTATTAGAAGTGCATCAGCCCTAGGAAAGGCACTGCTGTTCATTATTCATGTTTTTTCAATTAGTTCAAAATGGTTGTACTTCGTTTTGTACACAACTAACATTTTCTTTCCAGAATACATTAATCATTATTAAATTTGTATCTCTATAGACTCTTAATGTGACTGAAGAAAAATTTGTGTTGGATACACTCGCTGGATGCATAGAATATAAATCCATACTGGATGTAGTAGTCAATGCCTTTTATGTTCGGGACGGGAGATATTGCCTGATGTCTGAGCGTAATCTCTATGTAGGTAAGTTTTCTTTAAAGCACCAAATGTGTTTACAACAAAACTTAAAAGATATATTATTTTATCAATGCAGATCTTAATATTATATTACGTTTGAAGCATTGCCATTGTGCCAAGTACAGTATGAAATACAGGACCTTTTTCAAGGGTTGTATGATGTAAAGCCTAATTCCTGAAATCGTTGTTTAGTCCAGACTTTTCACAGGTGTTAACTGCAACTTTACCTAGGAAAATTCTGCATAATGTGCTTCCAGGTTAGGTAACATGCAGATAGAAAATACCATCCGAGACTGGAAGAAGTATCTTGGAAATTTAACCATCACTTTAAAAAATGTTCTTTGGGGATTTCTCTTTATTCTCTTATATGCAACCTCTGCCATTCAGATACTGAACTGTATAACAAAGCTCTGTCTGTTGAGGAGCACAGCATGTCTCACAGTATGAAGATACAATTGTTTCTATCCATACATGAGTTTCTTTGTTACTAATCATCACAATGACATAAACAGACTCCTGTCTGTCTCCATGAGTGAGGTCAATTATCTTCCTTCATTAGTTACTTGGTTAGAATCAGTTATAATACAACTATATCTAACAATGTGAGCTACTTAATCAGAGTAGTTACTACTCCAAAAGTTATTTCAGGCATTGAGAAGTACATTAAAAAGTAATTTTAAAAACATTTGTATGCAATGCATTTAATATTAATATAACTATATTAGAATGTAATATAAATATATATAATATTAATAGCACATATACTGATGTTGATTCATTATATCCCTGAATAGGGTGGAATCACAAATCACACTGGCATTGGTTCTGTAAATCAGATACGTTCTGAAGATTTGTGGGTACTTTGAATAGTCCAGTCAATTTAATTCGAAGTGGTTGAACATACAAGAAACCATATCTAATATAAGTATATCTACAATTTATGTTTTAAAAGCTATTACATTTTTATGGCAATTCGGGTTGCCTCTGTCACAGTCTGGAAAGGTATAGACATCTAAATCAAATCACAGAGGACAGGGAACCTAAACTGTCGAGGATGAATTTAAGAGTATATTGAGTTTATTCTAAATGGTAATGCTTCATTGTCTCCATTTCTCCAGAGCTATGTGTTTCACTGTCTGGGGCACATAAATTATACCTTTAAGCTGAGTGTAGCTATAATTGGATTGTCAGGACTGGTCCACTCAAAAGCCTCCATTAATCATAGGCAGAGGGTAAACCCCAGAAAATTTTCCTTTATCAACAAGTTGAGAGTCTAAGGTCATTGGCTCACATTTTTTTAAGCTGCTTGTGATTCCCTTTGCCAAGCTGCATTGACACTTAAATGATCAAAGCTGCTTATAAAGGCTGTTGCTATGTGTGAGCAGATTTGAATTTAATAAAGCTTGTAGGAGATAAATGTCTATTCTGCTAAGACTGCTTAAATACGTTGCTATGCTAAAGCACAAGATTGAGGCCTAATGATACACTGAGCCAGCTGCAGCACATTGGTCAGAATTTACTGATTTTATCATTGGTGGCAGCTCAAATACTGCAGTGAGAGTGCAGCCTGGTTGATCAAAGAGAATATGGTCAAATGAAAGCTGATACAGGAGCTCATGAACTTTACAGGTCTGAAAAGATGTCACAGCACTGACTGTGCCTCTTCCTGTATCGAATGGCATACCTGCCATAGGGGGGCACAAGAATCAGGTTTGGATTCCACAGAGAATTTCACAATTTAAAAACTTGGCTTTATTCAAATTCAGAATAGCAACAAAGATTACAACACTTTTTGCAAAAGGGTCACTTGCAAAAAAAAAGGAAAATAAATACTAGAAATATGATCTTTTATGTTTAAAATTTTTGTTATGTATAATATGTATAATAAACTATGATTTTGGAACAGATGAATAAGAGCTATCCTCTCTGAAAACATTAAAACCAGAGTATGCTGAAAAATTCACTATCAAAACTTGCTTTTATGTCTTCTTTTCACATTAAATTTTCTCAGAATAAGCTTGCTTACACTGAAGATTTTGGTTACACTAAGAGAGAGCTGTTTCTGACAATGTAATACTCTCAGAAACTTTTCAGTCATGTCTCTCAGGAGCCATTTGACTCCTATTCTCCCTGCCTTGTTGCCAGACTAACACACAATTTCACAGATGGAATATGCAGATACTTGTTGTATAAGCTGGTACTAATACACAAAGAAAGAAGCCGCCCTTTTTCTCATCACTGGCTGCTCATTCTCACCCCTATGTCATATCTTCCTTGAGTTAGAAGTGGTGTTTAGCAGCCATCCAGTGAACTGATCAAGAAAGTGCTTCAGGTTAAAATTCACAATCTGTTTCAACTTGGCTGTGTGGGTGACTGTACTTGCCCAAGAGAAGAAACACCAGGAAGTAAAAGGAGGAGATGAGAACAGGCAATTAGGGTTGACAGAACTGCTTATTTTAGTGGTGATGTTGGCATAACGAAATGACTGTGAAATCATTATCTTATCTCTGGCTTTACAGGACTCCAAATGCAATGCTACAGGCTTGGGAATGAGTGGCTGGAAAGCTGCTTAGCAGAGAGGGATCTGGGGGAACTGGTCAACACCTGACTGAACATGAGCCAGGAGTGTGCCCAGGTGGCCAAGAAGGCCAGTGACATCCTGGCTTGTATCAGAAATAGCATGGCCAGCAGGAGCAGGGAAGTGATCGTGCTCCTGTACTTGGCACTGTTCAGGCTGCACCTCAAATACTGTGTTCAGTTCTCAGTACAAGAAGGACATTGAGGTGCTGGAGCGTGTCCAGAGAAGGGCAACGAGGCTGGTGAAGGGTCTGGAGAACAAGAATTATGAGGAGCGACTGAGGGAACTGGGGCTGTTTAGCTGGGAGAAGAGGAGGCTGAGGGGAGACCTTATCGCCCTCTACAACTACCTGAAAAGAGGTTGTAGTGAGGTGGGGATTGGTCTCTCACATAAAAAGTGATAGGACAAAAGGAAATGGCCTCAAGTTGTGCCAGGGGAGGTTTAGATTGGATATTACAAAAAAATTCTTCACTGAAAGGGTTATCAGGCACTGGAACAGGTTGCCCAGGGAAGTGGTGGAGTCACTGTCCCTGGAGGTATTTAAAAGATGTGTAGATGAGGTGCTTAGAGACGTGGTTTAGTAGTGGACAGGTTATGGTGAGACTTGACAATCTTAAAGGTCTTTTCCAACTAAATGATTCTATGATTCTAAATGCTGCTATGGTAGATCTCCCCATTTGCAAGCAGGTATTTGCAGGCATCAAAAGAACCTCTATGAATTACTTCAGATAGGTACAATTATTACTACACTTTTTGTGTAAGTGGCCAGATCCTCAGCTGTTAGAATTTCCATAAAATTGTGTAGATTTGCACTAGCTTGGCTCTGACTCTCGTAAGAGATAGATAACTAATTTACATGAACCATAGCAGAGAGTCACAATGCTAATAATGAACATAGGGTTAACACTATAACTTCCTATTACAATTTGTCATTGTCATGCATTGTATTGCCCTGTTAGGTAAACAATATTGAAAACTATTTGAAATTAAAGTAACAGCCTAAATCCCAGAGTATGCTGAGTATAGGATATAGGTTGATTAGAATCTCCTGCTGCATTTTAAATGTATGTCTCTTTTGATAGTTATTTGTTATCTGGCTACTTTTCAACTAGAAGAGCTTGGTCTTCAGCACTTCAGCAGAATTGTGAAATCTCTGGACAACGCAAAAATGCAAAAGGTAATGAAAGTACAAAATATTTTGAAATATAATTAATAATCTCTTCATTGTGTTTGATCAATCAGATTACTTTTCTCAATTTTCAGGATAATTTCGATTGAGAAATTATTGCTATTTTTATGTAAATTCAGAAATCAAATTAGTATTTTGTTATCATAAAAATCTTCCGTTTCTATACTTACACAGTGAACCAATCACCCTGTTACAACACACAGGCAACTGACCAAACCAGTGCTGCCAAAAAGAGAGCCTCACAAGAAAGTTCTCCCTGCCTCTTCCTCTCTGGAGTCACAAATTTGGGTTTGCTCCACTACTTGTGTGCCAATCTTAATGAAATTTGTAGAAATAGAAATATCTCCTCCAAAATGATTGGAAGTGCTTATTATCTTAAAAGCTATGTTATAAAGAGGGGGAGAGGGAAAAAGTGACTGTCAATGCTTTCTCATAACCTCTGTTTTCTTTGGTAAATAGGCTAAAAATTAAATTACTGGTGACACAGCATATGTAAACTTTGATCATCCAGATGTTTCAAAGCACAGTTCAAACACAGCATTTGAATAACAAATGTGGAATTCGAGAGACAGACAAATATTAGTAATTAATTCTCAGAAGACTAGGGTTTATCTCTATACTAATTACTTTGAATGTTCATGTGGATGCCGGTGCCTCTTTAATGAGTACAGTTGCTTTGTAATATGTAGAGGGAGTAGGTTAGGTTGTCTGCAGGATGTTTTTAGAAACACTCTATTCACTTTGTTTTGGTGGGCTTACTATGGAGTGGTTTTTATTAATTACATTCAGAGACAAAAATGATATATTTCATTAACTGCTGGAAAGAACGGAGAGGTGGCTGGAAGCATTATCATAATCTGGTAGACAGACAAATCACTCTGTCTAAAATGCTCTCCCAGCCCCTGCTTTGGTAAACATCTCAGACACAGGCCACTGGATTGGACACATCTTGAGCTCATTCAGCTAGCAACACAGTTTTCCCACTTCATGCCAGCTACCTCTTGTTGATTCCACTCACCTAGCTTTCTGTGGCTTAAATGTCAGTCCCCTGATCTTCTATTTGAGATAATTTCTCCTTCCTTGTCTGGAATAACTTTTCTGTCAGGGAAGTGCTGCATTATGCAATGGTCTGCACCTGCTACTTTTTTTTTTCCCCTGTAGATGTAACTTTGTTTGCTTAAGTATCTTATCAGATCCTCATCACCATGGCACCTAGGTTTTCTTCTCTTGCATTTGAAGAGGTCCTTTGTCTCCAAAGTGATGCTAGATTATATTAATGCACCTGCAGCAGAGGATTTAGAAGCAGCATTTGGTCCCCCCAGCAACAGAGACAAAAACAGCAGAAGGCGGATCTGCAGCCCTAGCAACAAAAGTTGTCAGAAATTTGGGATTCTCCTTCAGGATGCTGACCTGTAGATTTTGCCTGATGACTATTGTCTCTGAGTTCAGTTGAGGTGCAGAAAAATCATTCACGTATATCTACTTCAAATAGATTTACTTTAATTAAAAAGTATTTTTTCTGCACATCACAGGCTGAATGGAATTTTCTTACTCATGCAGATAAACCTTACTCAAATGAATAGTCTTCATGAAATTAAAAGAATTATTCAGTTGAATGAGATCGCCTTGTGTGAGCAGACCTTTCTCCTAAAAGACTGCATGATGGAATCCATTCAAATCAAACTCATATTTTTTTCCCTTTGATAGATGCACGTTCAAATATTTTCATTCAGACAGAATATCCAGATGGAATAATAATGTTACCTCACTAACACATGTTCATCTGATTGAACAGAAAATCATAAGATCTCATTCTGTAATGTTAACAATAAATGCAAAAATTCTTTAAGGTTGTGTAATTACAGAACTACAGGATAAAACCCAATTTTGTAACTTCAATGTGTTTGTTCTTCCAAGAACTTAGCTATGCGTTGCTAGCTCAAGCCTATTTTTCTGTTCTATTTTTGTAGATGTTATTCCTTTATATTTGTTGTAAAATTTAAGGGTTTGTATGTTAGAGAAAATACACTGTCAAAATAAAAATTTGAGGTAAACAGCTTTATAACTTCACAATTACCTTGTAAAAAATGTAAAATAACCATTGTTTTATTTCTAGCATTCAAGAATCTCTTTTGTTCTGTTTCTGTTCTGATTGCTTCTAACAGCAGTGAAGTCCTTTATAAAGAACTTCTGAGATCTGCAATGGAAAATTGCTATGTCAGAACTGGGTATTGTAATTGCTATTATGATGTGGTAGGAATAGTAGGACAAGATCAGTAAGAAGGACAAGATAAGTCTCATGGGTCAGAGAATGGCAGAAGGACCTGTGACCATGCTAGGACACTCTTCTCTATACCTTTACCTCAGGCTCCCCAAAATAGAGTTGCTCATTACAATTTCTTCATGGGAAAGCCTTAAGAGCTTCTTGCTTTTCTCTTCATGCCTCTGTTGCAGTTGAAAGGTACAATCCTACAGTTTGTTGAGCTGGCATAGCTGAAGAGCTGAGCTGAGCTCAGCAGATGAACAGAGGAGTGGACAGGAACCTCCTTGACTGCCTTTACTACTACAGCAAATAGCTGTGGGTGTGTACAGCCAAAATAATAGCATTCTCAGGTAGTGGCTGATCCATATGGAGAAACAGAACTTGCTGTTCCTTGCAGTTACTTCCTTAACTCAAGAGTCAAAAGCTTATGTTGTGAATATAAGGATTTCAGGTCTGCAAATAGCTACATGCATGTAAAGATAATACCAGATGAGGAAACTTCCCATTTTTATTTGCTTTTTAGAAATCTACACAACCCCACTGTGTAAAAATACCTATAGTATATTAGCAGGGCATGTTCAAATTCTCAAAAGCAAGGTATTATTTCAGCCCACTCATAAAAATACATTACAGCACAGTCTTTAATTATACACACTTGTCCTACTACAGCCAGAGTACATTAAAATAGTAAAAAAGGGTACAGTTCACTTCTGGTGTCATTCCACCACTTCTAGAAAGGAAATGAATCTCAGTTATCATGCTCTGTGAGTAGTGAAACTCCTGGAACAGCTGAGACAGAAGAGTAAGCAGAATGATGCCATTACCAAAATGACTGTCCAGTAACTTCTCTAAAGACACAGATAGTGGTAACATCCGAACAGAAATCTGTGAGACCTTCAAGCTGCATTTTGCTGCTATAAAAGCAAAGAGTGGTGATACTGGAGTTGCCACATGTGGCCAAAGACAAAACAGAAATATAAGGCACTTTTCCTAGCAATTCAGTTCACAAAATGCAAAAGTCTCTATTGTTAAGAAGAGAAATGTGCTATGGCTTCATGTGTCTTATTCTGCCCACAATCACCATCTGTGATATGGATTATCAAAACCAAGACCGTCGACTTTGGCCCAGGCAGACTCAGGTCAGAAATGATATCTGGTAATCCTGCACTGCCATTTCCAATCCCTGCATTGCTTGGAATAACCATTCAGGAGCAGCACTCAAAGCCTTATCTAGCATGAGGTGTATTAGGGCATATTCTTATCATAGCATTTCTCTGGGGACTGTGACTAAAACAGTAGCAAAATACACATCACAGTATTGATATCCATTAACCACTGATACCCAGTTAACCATTCTCTGTACCTCACAGGAGTACATCGTAGCATTTATCAATGACATAATTAGCCATTTGTCTTAATGAAGTGTGAATTGTTAATAACCAGTACATAACTAGAATTGCAGTAGGAGGCCTCAAGGGGTAATAGCCAGCTGTTAAATACAACAGCTAAAACTCTCTGTGTGCCTTTATTATAGTTTTTTCTGCCTTGAAGAGGAAGTTAAGTTGCAAGTACTTTGTAAAAGATAGTTACAGCAAATACTTAGAAGACCTAGATGGAGAAGGTCAGTCAGAGAGAACTGAAACAACACTTCAGAGGCTTCACATGGCAATGTAGTAGACAACTGATTGGAGCCTCTGTGGATCGACTAGGCTAGAAAAGAGGAATACTAAAGACACAGAGAGGAAGGAGGACTTCAGCTTAATGAAAGTTAGTGAAAGAAAACTGGAGGATTTACAAATCACCACCTGCAGGATTTCTACTTCAGCTTCTTCTGCGAGTTCTCTGAATACCTAGAAATTTGAAACTAGCTTCACCCCTCAGGGTCTGCTCATTTTATCAGCTCATGGCAGGGGGTTGGACTGGATGATCTTTAAGGTCCCTTCCAAGCCAATTATAATTCTATGATTCTATGTTTAATCCACCTCTGTGTACATACTTGCTTACATGGGTTTAAACTACATTTTTAAATCAACTTTGTAGTCAGGTAAGGTAAGAAGGTAAGAAGAGTACTTTGGCAAGGAACGTGTTCTCTGGGTCTGTAATCGTATATTCAGCTGGGTTACCTGGATGTAAAATTCTGTTATGATAACTGGTAAAAGTAGTGTATATACAGTTCATCAGTTCTGTTGGGGAGTATGAACTCTGTCTAGATTTTTAGCATTTTATTTATACCTTGCATAAGTACAAATTACTAAGTTCGGTGAAAAATGTAATCCAACATGCATGCACTGCAGAGAAAGATTCTCCATAAGGAAAATGAATGAGTCTCCCAATGGGATGAAATGCAACCCTTAGCATATACCTAGCAAACCCCACTGAATTTGGAAGCCCCTAAAAAGCAACTTTTTCACAATTTAAAACTTAGTTTATAGTCATCCTTTGAGGGATGACATATCTTCTTTAGGATGGTGTGTGATATGCCAGCATTTGCAGTTTTGTGGAAAAGCAGTAGTTTCTAGACAAGAATGGAAATCCAAGGGGTAATATTTATTTAGTCCTTCAGTTGTTGATCAGTCTTTTGAATCTACAAAAACCACAACGGATTAAAATAAGACTAAATTTACAGGTTAAATCCTTTGGTTAAATGGTCACATCAAGAGGATAGATTTCAAGTACCAGGCTTTCTACACCTGTTCAACATCTGCATCAAACACCTTAAGAAAAATCTGAATTGTTTACAGCTGAATTATTCACAGAGCTCTGAGCCACCTTGGGCCTGGCACCACATGTGAATTAAGAAGCTCCTTGGTAGGACTCAAGAACTAAGAACTCAATACAAAGACCTATATACATCTTTGGAAACCAGCCCAAGACAGGGCTGGTGCCAAGTCTAAAATAATAAGCTTTGCAGTCTCCATTTGAAGCTTCTCAAGTGACTGCACACTGCTTTCCAGCATGTCTCATAATGTCTATATTATTTAGTGTGGGGTTTTTTTTTCTATTATTTGGATTATTTCAGCATGATACTTGTTTGTACTTTCATTTCCAATAACTTTAATGAAAAACTTCAGGTCCAAGTTTGGAATTTATATTGCTGTAAATGATACATGCTGAGTCTGATTGCCATTTTTCAAGAATCTGTTTCAAAAGGTCATTTGAGCAGCTCAAGTTTTAAAGAAAGGCTCTCGATCTTCTGGTGAACTCCAGAGGGAAAGTAAAGTTCAAATGTGAGTTGCGATTTCTCCAGCATGTAGAGCCCTACAGTGTTAAGTGTGCCAAATTTCAGTCTTCTAGTTTAGTGGGAATGTGCCAATTATTTCTATTTCAATAAAAGAAGAAACCATATTATATAGCAGTTACTGTAGTTCTCAGCAGCCCTCCCTGCCCAATTCCCAGGGAGCTGAAAGAAATGTGAGTCATTCAGGTGCAGTGCCAGGCCTGAGATGTTTCTGGGCACCATAGATCATCAGCTATAGATAATCAGGAGCTGATTGTGGGTTTATTAGACTCTGGAACTCTGGTGTATAATTATACTAAAATCAGTTTATTGCAATAGTAATTACTTTTAATTTTGAATAGAAACTTGTTTCATAATGTTTGAAGCAAATTAAAGATGCATCAATACATCCCCATGTTGCAGTCCCTAGATTTTTTTTAGGCTACTAAAAGTACAGTACTTCACTATCTATTACTGTTTCACAAAATAAGGCTGAAAGACATTGGGCTGTCCTAACAGAACTAAGAAGAACCTACAAATATCAGACATCTAAGATTTTAATTGCAGGATGAAATGCAAGCAAGTTATTCAGCAGTGTTTGTAGTAAAAGCAACTATCTTTTTGTAATCTTATATACACCATACCTTCAGTACTCACATTTAAAAGAAATTGCTTATTATTAGTTTCTCAGATTCTTCTTCAATGCCTTGTATTTGAACACATGGATAAAAGATGAATGGAGTCACTTCTACGATTCACTGTATGTAAAACAGAACTGGATTGAGCCACTGCTAAGGTAAGCAGTACTTAAGTAGCCTCTCACCACCTCAAAGTTTAAAACCTGGGGAAAGCTGCCCCTGAAAATTCGATTTGCTGTTAAAGTGTTTCTCCTAGTGAAGTCACTCGGAACCCTTCTTGTCTTTGTGAGACTATAGTAATCCCTTTTACTTACCAGAGGCAAGGTTCTCTTGTAGAAATGTCCTGCCACAGCTATTGTACATTTGTTTATCAGTGCCCCTGAACAGATGAAACATCACACTATGAAAAAAAATAGAAGATTCAAATTATCTTACAGAGTTAATTCATATCTCATAAGTCAATCCAACATCTGTATGACATTAAGCATATGAAACAAGACGTTTGAGTTCCCTGAGTTTGGCTTTATGCACAGAGTTGTTTATGCCTGTGGTTGTAAAATCCCTTCTGAGCAAATCAGATAAGCATGTAAACAAGTCTTTTAAATTTATTATTTATTTACACAATTGTGGCATCATTTAACAGTTTAAATGCTCTGAGGTGCCAGGTGTGTCAACACATTGGTTAGGTGGTGATACAGTAGCATGACTACCCTTGCCATACTGGAACATTTTCATGTGGAGAAACAGGAGCTCTGTAGCCTATTGTGTCACTTTTTCACTCTTGTTTTTACCCAGGACATATGAATTAAAGCTAACATTGGTACACCTACGTGACTGTAACCACGCATCCTCCTCACTGCGGTACAGATTAACCCAGATTATGGCAAACACTGTTACACAAAAATATGCTGTAATGTCAGCTGAAAAAGAGTTTGCATCTAGTTCTAACTGTCATATCTAAGTCAGTAGTATTAATTCTTTCATACTATGTAGATTATGTCAAATTAGCAAATGTACTGCATAGATTTGGCATGCAATACTACAAATACCACTCAGTTCTACAGGAACTGCAGGGATATATTTGAAATCAGAATTTGACTCAATATACTCCACTGTAGTGATTCTAATTATAACATACACTTACAGTAGTATGAAGACACAGAGATGCATAAATAGAGATACATGCACATATCCACACAGTTTTTATATATACATACACATGCAGGCAGATGCTTAATCTATTGCTTGTTTCATTAACACTAAGCTTATTGAACCTGTTCTTCACAGTTAATGACATTCAATGTAACAAAGACATGTTTTGTCTAGAAGTTGTAAATGTAAGTTATGCAAGAATTTTAAAGACCATATTTGGTTACTGGGTTTGAAACTTCCTTCAGGGGGATGAGGATGCATTGAACAGTTTAATCAGTTCAGTAGCTTAAATTCTTTTAAATACGTCTTTATATTCCTCTTCCTAATGTCAAGGAGGTTAATAGAAAGAGTCCTATTTATTTCAATGAAGCTGCATTACTTGCAGAAGTTACTTGCAGGCCTCATCCCATGATGACAGTACTAGCTAAGGTAACAGTCACATAAACAAGTTACTGTTCATCTGCATTGTCAGCTGCTTTTTAAGTTTTGGGAAAGCTCTATTGCATGTGTAATACCTAAGGACAGAACACACATAGAGGAGGAATAACTGACATGAAGCTGTCACTGTAATTAGCCCTGTGATAACCTGTCTTAACTTAATTCTGCACCTTCCTGTCATTCCTTGGAAGAAGTCTGAACCTTCATACAAGCCAAAGTCCAAACACAGAGAAATCAAAATCATCTTGACTGCTCCACAGGGCTCAATGAGGGTTTATTTGCTAATTCTCCAAACTCCTTACATCTTTCTATTTTCTTATTAGAACTGCCTGTGCTTTGAGGTTGATTTATGTGTGCTCTGTCAGTTGGTAAAAGTGGCAATACTCAGACCACTAAACAGTGGTTCATAGTCTTTTCATCTAAGTATGTTAAGTGTTTACTTAGCTTATGGCAGCTGCTTTTCTGATTCATAGCCTGGTCCTGCTGCAAAACGAACTGGCAAGATAGTTGCTTATTCAGTAAAAACTGTGGCTGTTTCACCACTCGTAGTCTGAATGGACTAGCACCTATCAAAAGGCAAAGTAACAGAGTCCACCTAAATCATGAGTACAAATCCTTAGGTCAATTTTATTAAAATTGAATGGCTGAAAGCATTACAGAATTTGCACCAATGCCAACCTTGTATATTGTGTGTAAGTCTGTATGAAAGGAAAAAATGAAATAAAATTGAAAACTCTGTTTTTGTTTGAAGATGGCAGCCAAAAGTACAGCAACTGATTGCACAGCTCACAGATAAATTAAACAACCGTACTACCACTGTCAAGACTTCGACGGTCACTCAGCCAAAGGAATTTAATTTGACTGTCCCCAAACCACGTGCCATTCCGATACCTCTGCCAATACCAGTACTGGAAAAAAGGCTACCTGTGAGTTTTTTTATGCTTTGAGACAGATACTGTTTTATGTATGCTTTTGCACAAAGTCACAGTAGGAGAGTTAACAGTCTCTTTAAAAATAGCTACAGAATATGTATAACCTTTGACAGATCAACAAGAATTTTCGTAATAGTCTGTGTTATTCATGGTCAGATTTAAAAAAAAAATGGAACTGATTCATTACATTTCAGTGAATGTCATGTAAGCAAATAAAGGCAAATAAAGGGAAAAAGGTTGGTTTCTGTAGTTGTTCTGAGACTTTTGGAGGTAGAACTATACAATGGGTACAAACTGATGACAGCATTGATATAAGTGTTTCTGGTAGTCCTTGGATTTTTAAGATGTTTGCTTTGGATAATGCACTTAAGTGGGCAAGAAAACACTCAAATGAAATTTTTGTGTAAACTTAGGGCTTTTGTAGATGAATTGCCATTAAAATAAATGGCAAAGCAAATTCACTGGAGATGAGATGGACTCTAGGTTTGCAGCTCCTTCTCGAGGGTGGAATTTTATTCCTTTCTATTTGTATTGATGTTGAATCTCTAAAATTAAGGTTTTTCAGTTTAAATGCATTGCTCACATATAAAAGAGACTAGATTTATTTTTGAAATGCTAAGGTTTTATTTTACTCATTGTCCAAGACTGTGATTCAGTTACCCTGGTACAACTCAGAGACACATGATTGGTTTTAAGTTAGCTCACTGGGGTAAGGCAAACAGGATCTGGGATCAAGCTGCTAAGACTAACTTAATAAAGACTCCAAAATCATCTATATTTAAATGCAGTGGGAAGTGAGCTTGGAAGTCATCGTTTTGGGCATTATCTGCCACCTTGTATTAGCACTTCAGGTTTTAAATAATACATGTGTTGAATGCTCTTAGGAACCATTTAAATCTTAGGATGGTAGAGGAATTTAATGGTAGTGCGTTATACAGTTAATGGGATTTTACATTGAAACAGCTTAATACCAGGCTCTGAAAAACTGCATTTAATAACTACTTAATCAGTATAGGAATGGGTCATATTGCTGTCATTTTAGTACCTTTATTCTGTGAGGCCCCTCTTAGAATAAATTTGCTCTAATGCGGATGCATTTACTGAAGTTCATTTGTGTTGTTAGGATTATACTAAATTTGGTTTACATTCTGGCCAAGTCTGCAAATTTAAAAGCTTGTGTGAATCTAAAACCATTAGCGTAGTAGTGACATATGTTGTGCTCATTTCTGTACCTATCTCAGCAAATTAAGCTTCACTTTAATTTGCCATATTGTTGCCAATATCACCATTTTAGATCCTGAAATGAACAGACTGAAAAGACAGCCCAGATGGCAAGAAAGAGTTAGTGAAGTGAGAGCAGGCCATAGTTTTGGCTGCTGCATGGTGGAGAGTTTTATGTAATTGAGAGGAATGCACGGAAATAAAGTTCTTCCAGACTACATCGCATAATCTGCTACAGAAATGTTCTCGACCGTTTTCTCACTAAATTGTTAGCTTTATGAGGTATCTATTCTTTCTCATGGTTCTCATGCATCTGTCAAAGAACTTGTCATGAGGCATATTAACAGGGACTATTGCAGTCACAATAACTACAGCTGTAGTTACTGCTCGACTTTGAAATAGCTGTAGAAATTCATATGGAGACGTCTGGATTTTGAGCAATGGCTACCGATAAGTTACTGCATCCCTATGGTGAAATCAGTTCATTCTGATTAATAGAATTATTATTTTAGGTATTTCTTTCTGCTAGGTTGTATCATATTCTATAGTAGAGCTAAAATGCAAAGTAAGATGAGATGTAACACATGCACTGAGTTCAGGAGCTGGGATAGTAGTGCTGTCCTGTACACTAAACACAGGCTTCCTTCCCAGAAGAGGCCTGCAGATGTGGGTTCCTGCAAAAGGCAGGGCCATTGTCTCAGTGATCTGTATTGAGATGGGACCTTGGAAAGTTTCTTTGGAGGAACATAGGCCTGGAAGGTTAGGATAATCATTCATCATCATAAACATTAATTGGAAATGGGGGACAATAAGTGAAAGGGGAAAACCCTTTAATTTTGAAATTTAATAATGAAACATTTCACTCTAAATAGTCTAAAGATTATAAATTCTTCTTTCCACTGTCCTTTGCACACAAGCACATGGTTGTGCACACAAGCATGCATATATGCATATACAGATTCATAAATACAATTCTATAAAGAAAAGTGAGTGCTTTAGCTTGAGGCTTGCAAAGGAAACAAATGGAGACAGGTGCTTAAACCTGATAACATGGAAAATGATTTGGACACATTTAACTTCCTTGGATATCTTGGCCTTAATTTACAAATAACAGCCATTCTTTTAATATCACTACTGTACTAGAATAATAAGATTGTGCACTTATTTCAGTTTTAAATTTTCTGTAAACCAATAATGTAGTTAAAAAAAAGAAAAAGGTCACACTGTAACACCATACAGCCAAATTTAGTGTATTTTTTAGATATTTTCCTTATTATTTTAGCTGTCCTCCATGAGTGGTGGAGTTACTGATTGTTTAAAATAATTAAATGGGTGAATTCATCTGGCCAACACTGAGGAATTTTTTTGCAAATATATAGACCCAGCAATATATTTATCTTTATGATCTTGTTATGTATAAAATAGAATCTCTTAATATAATAGCATTGCATTAGCTTGCCCTTGTCCATTTTACAACAGCAAATTACAGTAGAAAAGTGATAACTACCGAAGTTCAAAGTGATTATTCATTTTGTTCTTCCTTAAACTTCTCGTGGTACCTACTCCCTAACTAAACCTCTAGTAAAAGGATATCCAGAAAGCATTGGTGAGCCTGACCACTGGCTGGAGAGGAAAAACAAGCTTGGTGTCTTAGTCCCAGCTCCCTTTTTTTCACATTAGGATTAAGTAGTTACAGTTTGGCCTTTTTGATCTCTGTATTGCTGGAATTTACAATTTACTCATATTGACTTATTCACCCTCTTCCAGCAGCTGGGAAATTGCTGCATTGTCTGTCTGTCTGTCTGATTGGTACTCATCACCATGGCACCTGAGGGCTAAATTACAAGGCTAAGAGCATTTTTGAAACAGAGCTGATTGAAAAGTCTCCTCCTTAAATTACTTGGAATAAGCATAGCAGTTTCTGAGGAGAGATTTTCAGCTTACACTGGCAGATGAGTACAGTTTTGCAGATAAAGCACATGACTAGGAAGGAGAGTGAAATAAACTGATACTCACTGCCTGTGCAACCCTTTGCAAATCCTCTGGGTTTTAATTTCTCCATCCATAAAAGGATGATAAAGATTCTTAGATACTGCTGGGAAATACTTTCAGTTCTACTTCACTTAAAAAGTTCACAAAAATACTTGAGCAGTCTCACCCGTGCATTTAATTGCTAGCTGCTTCTGTTTGTGCATTTGTTTTACCTGTAGATAATGATGTCAAATAGCAAAGGAAGTGGAAAGTACATCAGAGTCCTAAGTGTTCAAAGCATAGCCCTTTGTATAGTGCAATAAAGCTAGGTGGGATCACCATGTTCCTTAAACTGACCTCCAGTACAATATCGATTATAGATTTTTCCCATTAATTCTTGAATTAATTATGAAACTTCTAATTGAGCTAGAACATTTTTAGCAAGATAAAATTTTAAGCAGAGGTGCAGTAAACTGGCAGACTATCTCACCCACATAGGAAGGAGACATCCAGTCTCTTTTCAGAGTGTGCTTCTGGGCAAAATTTATCACTCAAGCAAATATTGAAACTCTCCAGAAGTTTCAGCCTAACTCAAAGCCATACAGTCCCTATTCTCCTGTTGATCCATATGACAGCCAGACAATAATTCTTTCCTGGTCGTTTTATCTGCAGCACTTTCTGACATGTGACTGCTTTCCCACATTGACTAATGCTAGGAGGGCCCTCTCAGTCCTCTGCCACCAAATGTTTAATCTACACCTCTAATGGGATTCCCTTACACAAACACTGGGGCAGCCATGGTAGACCAGAGCAAAGGCCCATTTTGCCCAGTCTGTTTTCTCCAGCAGTGGCCAAACACAGCTGTTGAGGGAGACTACAGTAACAGCAGAAGCATAGCTGCTGCTTTCTCCAGCAGCCTTCCCCGTCTCCCACCATTTCATCTCAAAGACTTCCTCAGTTACAATGAAGTTCGTGAATATTTCATAAACTTAAAACAATTTCTCTTCTCTGAACTTCTCTGGAGTCTCTGTAACTTGTTACCACTACCGCACTGTCCCAAAGAGCTCCACAGCTTGACTTTATTCAGCTGCCCTATCTGGCTGTCAGTGCTTTCCAACTGAGGTTTATGAGATGCCAAGCAGAACTTTTCCCCTTCTGGCAACTTCTTTTTTCCCTTGATAGGGCCTATAGGATTTATTATTTCTTGAGCCTTTCTTGTGCTAGTTTCAGATTTTTGCTTTTTTCTGGTCTTTTGTCCAGGGGTGATATTCCATTGGACAGGACTGAAAAGCCTGGGTAGTCCCAGCTATTGGAATCTGTCCATGTCTTCTACACTGCCGTAAATAGAAAAGAATCAATAGTTAAAAAATAACTGCAGCTGTTCTACAATAAAGTGAATGTGTTTTTTTCCTGCAAGAATGTGTCACTTGGAATGTTTTATATCCCGTATTGTGGAGATTATTGTCTTTTAATATAGGTTCCTTCAAGCACCTACAAACCTCCAAAGGAAAAAAAGCAACTACAGGAAATCAAAATAAAAAATTGCCGAAAAGCAGAAGTAAGTATATTATGTTCTTCTGGTCTTTCCTTTCTTCTAAACTGTCTCTTCTGTAGTGCTCCATTTTCACAAGTTTTAGAACTTTATCTGAAACATATTTGCTTTTGCACCTAATAGTTCTGGGATCTTTCTCTAGAGTCGTGAAGTTTGTATCCTCTGTTCTGTTCTATCACCCTTTTTGCATCTTCCTTATTTTATTTGTAATTATCTGAGACAAGGTCCACCTTTTATTCACTATAGAAGTACTATATAAGAAATCATGCAAGTAGCCATTATGTAAGGTAGCAGAAACATGATTACTTTCTTCTCCTCACAAGCCTGAAATAGTTTGATGGCTCTTTTACTCCCACAGGACATGTGGATATTTAAGGTATTAACTTAATAATTAAGGCTTCAAAATACAAAATATGTTCAATATTGTTGTTTGTTTTCTATAGTAACGGAGAAATAACCACATGTCATCACCCACTGTTTTAAAATACCAGCAGACTCTGACTCCTTTTCAGTGCAGACTCCTTACTCTTTACTTCAGCAGGCTGAGAGTGGGAAGTGATCATGATTTGTAAAGAAGCAGAGTACATGGTCTGTGTGCTAAGAGAGCAGGAGAAGGGAGGGCCTGGAAAAACAAAGAAACAGATCTTGTTATTTGATCCAAACTTTGATACGAATCCTGTTCAATGAGTTAGCTCCTATCATAGCTGAAGCAGATTGTTGTTGTCTTCTCCTTGGAAGGGAATTAATTAAATGTCAGCTTCCACTCTCTCTTCCTCCCCACACTGCAATCACCATACCCAATCGAATAACAGTATAAACTTGATAAAAGGCATGCTATTTGACTCCTTTTTATCTGCACTCTCCCACACCCATTCTGAAAATGCCTTACTCTAGCTTTCACTAACCAGTAGGAGTCCATTTATCACTGTTCTGGGCTCTCCTCATGTCCTTGTGAAAGGGGCATTGGATTCTGTTCCTAAACTATAGTAAATGCTTGAATATGTGATAGATTCTAGGGGATTAAACTCTTCATTCCTTTTGCTGGCCCATCACATTACCTATGCTTGGTATTTAATTATAAAACATTATATTTTATCCTTTTATTTCCATATTGTGGAGAAAGCACACACCTATTTGTCTGCATGCTTATTTGTACGTACAAACTTCCTAGAAAAACTGGGGAGGACAAGCAAGATACCACAATGCCTATATTGTCAAAAATCTATGACAACTATAAAATCACTTAACCACTAGCCACATTCTTCAGTGGAGAAAATATGTGAATACAAAGAACAAAGGAAAACCACCACAGAAAGTATAGCTGTAATAACAGCAGTTTTTGTCGCCTCTGGAATGTTTTAAAAGGCATCCAAAGCATTCACAAAGGTCAGTTCCCTAGACTGTTTGCTAAACAAGCTGAAGTGTTGGGTCCTAAAAGAAATATACATTAAAAATGCCTTTTTTTAAAATAGCATTTTAGCAGAAGCTGTAGCTGTCATATCTGAGCATGGAGTGAGAACACTGGAAGCCAAACTCTAGGCAGTAATGGAAGTGCTGATGGGCAGCTGCTGTCCAGAAAACCATGAGAAAATCTAGTTGATGTTTCACAGCTTTGATTAGAAACTACTGTTCACAACCAGAAGAAATATCCAAAAATTAGCAATGTGGCTGCCTGTGCTTCTCCTTTTAAAATGACAGGTGGAATTACTGTTAGGTATGTGCCTGCTGGAACAACCCTCGGTGCTCAGATTCCCTGATTCTACTTCTAATTCTTCTAATTTAACTTAAAAACAAAGCCATCGTTTGTTAGCACTCTGGAAACAGTTACTACCTACGGTACAGATATGCCATAGATAATTAGGAGGCTTTTAAGTTGAATTCTGGATGAGCAACATGTTTCATATGAGCAGACAAAGGCCTGGTGCACTATGCAGAGGATCCAACCAGACAGAACTATGTAGAAAATAAAGTCTTGCCTACTTTGAGTCTTTAATCAGGAATGAAAATCCATGTAAATACTAAATCAAGCTTTCATTCACTGGAAACAAATTAATATACTGGTCTGGGCTGCAAGGCTTTTAGACTCAGAAAATTCTTATTAGAGAATTGAAATGTACCATAGTCTTTAAGATAATTGCTTTAATTTTAGGATTTTCTCCGAAAATCAAAAGCCAACCAGTTCAGATGTGCAACCATGAAGTCTCAAAAGGGAGAGGTATGCTATGAAACACTTTATTACCTAAAAATCCCCCAGTATGAAGATAAAAAAAATGACTAGAGTATTTAAAGATATCTCAAAGTATTTGAAAATTTTTCTTTATTTGAGTGTAGGAATTATGTGCTATAATTTATAGCTGTACTGTCATTTCACATCCATGTTATTATTTTCAGACGTACTATACTAACATTTGTGTCTGTGGATGCATAATGCACGACCTCCTTTTCTTATACTTCTGGTGCTGCTTCATTATTCTCCTAATTTTGAGACAAGCAGCCTTCCTGTGATACTACTCTAACAAGTCTCCAAAATGGCAATATTTCTTTAAACCCACATATTATTTTTCCATTAACTTTTATGCCATAGAGTAGTCAAGCCAAGGGAATAACGGTCCCATTCATACAGAGCTCTTGCTTTAGTTGTTTTCCAGTTTACAACTATGTCACCATAGTATGCAGTACATTAATTTCAGCATCACATCTGCATATTCTATTCACTGTGTTCATCCCCAAGATACTTTCACATCAGTATCTATATCTAACACCATAAAATGAAATTAATAACAATCAGTAGACTTGTACCACTTTTCAATAATTTCAAGAAGTGTGCTTTGACACCCTATTTTGTCTTCCCAATATCTATTTCAGTTACGAGCTGAATATATTCAAATATATACGTAATATTTCATAGTCAGACAAAACATCACTTTTACTTTATTAGCATTATTTTAGTCAATAAATTTTAGTCTGTATTTGGATGTACATTTGTATGGTCATTTGATATGAAATATTCTCACTAAGTTGGGTGTACATAGCAAATCTTTGTGGATATAACAATTCCAAAATATATCCCCTATGATTGTATTTGTTACTCTAGATGAATATTCAAGAGTGATTTTTGGTAAATATTTAATACTTTTTGCTGAGTACTTGAAAATCTGTCTCTGAAATGAAATGTACTTTTAGTCTGAACTGCAGAACACCCATGACAGTATGAAAAGTAAACCAGCATTCCGGGCTCAAAAGATCCAAAGCAAGGTGAGTAACCTTTAAGGTACTGTTGTCAGTATTTGAAAACTTTGGAGTGAAAAAGAGACATGCAAATTCTGTGGTGATGCAAACTTTACTGGAACCCATGCTTTCACACCAAGTTCTGTGGCTAGGAGAATGGGATGGATTTGGTCTATGCACTATGAACAATCCACAAAGAAATGGTCAGGGAGCAACAAGAGTGTGGCTGCTCCAAGAGGGAAGAGAAATGAGGAGCCAAAGGTAATGAAGGCACAGGCAGTGCCCTCACCAACCAGGCCACAGTACCTGAACATGACAGAGCTGGTGGTGGTGATGGGTTCTGCTGACAGCCAGTCACCCTTAGGCAAAGCAGGGTAACCACTTGAGAAGTGCAGTCAGGAGACAAGGCTACAACAGCAACTCAGGTCCATGACAGCAGGAGACAGAACTAGAGAGACAACCAGGAGCAGAATTACCTCCAGCATAACAGGAAAGCACTGAAGCCAGGACCTGAGCTTAAGCAGGGCTCCTGGACCAGTAAGCAGACCGTGAGTGGAGGCCCTAGGTGAGGCTGGGCAGGGCAATGAAGACCTGTTGGTTCCCTTGAGGGCCCTGCCAGGTAAGTTGTGTGCAGTTACACAATGTAACCATATTGCCTGAAAGTGGTTTTCGTTCCAAAGGGAGAGGTTTTTATGTGAAATGGTGAGGATTGAGAATAGTCCACGGGGGAAAAAAAAGAATTGTGAACCCATGGTTTAAGAACGTAGCATAGGGACAGAAAAATCTTGTGTCTGTAAATCACTGTTTCAAAATGAGATCCTAAAGAATGCTGAGCAATCGTTCCAGCTAATGACTGTCTGATACACAATATACAATCAGTCTGGATGTTTGTCTTGTTTCCTTCAGACACATACTGAGGTCATAAAATCCGCTATACGGATTGCTTCTCTGCTAGGATTTCCAAGGGTCAGAGAATTGTAAACATGGAAAACGGGCTGTTCAGCCTTAGTGCTGTAACATGAAAAATCACATTGCTATTTCTGCTATAACTGTACTACAGATAATCTTCAGTCTTACATCGTTCAATCTTTCACCTTTCATTTGTTTCAAGTTCATGTGCTAAATAATTTAACATGGAAGCTGTGCTTGTACTGTGACCTCAAATACCTTGTGAGCAGGTCTACCTACTCTTTAAAACTACATATTTAGGTCTAGTTTATATACACTTTGGAAAGACTGATTCCCTGCTTGGGGAACTGGGTATCTGGCCACTATTTCTAAAGCATATCTGGCATTTATCAAACTGAAGTTATCTTTAGTAACAATATCACCTACTCACTCTGCTTGCTTACAATCCAGCAATATTTAAATTACAGGGAAGTAGTAAGATTCCAGTCCCTTCTGTATTCAAAAAAGGGGGGAAAAAACAAACCAAGAAACATTTACATAGTTAGACCAAACACGCATGACCTGTAATTTTGTGGGCTTAGTTCAAGACTGCAAATATTCCACTTCCTTTTCTGATAATTTAAAATACTGAAACCTTAGTGCAGACTAATGAGAGTCAAACCATCTGCCTAAATTTAATAAGAAAGATATAGATCTGGCATCTTATGGCATTGATCAGGGCCACTCTTAACACCCGCTAGTATCTCCTCCAGGAGCACTATCAGTTTTATCTCATCTAAACACATTTGCCTTAAAGGTCGGTTAGGTGATATTCAAGATGCTGCTGTAACTTTCAAGCTGAGAGAGGCAAATTGTTATTGACTTCTAAAATACTTTCTACTCCTGTTGCCTGCACAACTCTCTGAGTAGACAAATCCTAAGAGGAAAGTATATCCAAATAAGGTTGTAATCTGTCCTCAAATTAATGAAAATACATAATGCTTTAACCAACTAGTATTTTCCTTTCCTCTTTTTAGAACACCCACGATATTAAATACTTTTTTTTTTCATTTCAGATACATTTATTATGTGCAGCAGCCATTATTTCTCACTGCTGTTACTAAATACCTATTTGTCCGTTTCCCTGGAAGAATGAGAGTACAAATGCATTCTCACTCTCTCTCAATCTGCCTCTTGCTCATATCAGGCCTTGCTCTTTACATAATTATTGAATTTGGTGAGCTATTGTGTGTTCATTAGGTAGAAATAGTGAATACAATTTTTTGCACAGCAATTACGGTGATCTGTGATTTTCCCAATTATTTGCATTTTCTCATCTTGAAAAAAAGGGAAGATATCTCACGTCAGGAAGATAACAAGTAAAACTCAAAACTTCCTTGATACCACATGACTTAGAATAATCTCTTCAGTTATTTCACTTATATTTGTCTGCATCTATCTTAGGAGTCCCAGATATTTTGATTACATGGGCTGTCATATTTCAGTTTAATTGTCATACAGTCATATTTCTGTTTAATAAGCTGGGAAACTGAAGTGAAAGGTATTTCCATAATCATTCTTAGTTTAGTTCTTAATCCTAATTATAGTTAGTAAATACAGAACATGAAATCTGTATGCACAGGTAATTGCCAAAAATATGAATATTCCTACATGTGTCAGAGAAAATGTACAAGTAGATATTTTATACACAGTATAGTGTATAAAATACAGCCTGAGGGGGGAATGTTCATATAATGCAGGAGTTGAGAAGTAGACCACGAGGAAGGAAGGGCATCATTAGGCATTAAGAAAAGTAAGTACAGTAAGTCAGGTAAAAGAAATAAAATACATGGTTTTGGGTTCTTTTCCTAAATGCTTTGAGTTATCATCATTTTGTCAAGAAACAGACAGGTAATTAATTTTTGTCTGTTAAAATGTGCATCTGTGTGGAAAACACAGTAATTTTACTTAGTGAATTTCTAGGTGATAGCAGGTGTTTGTTATCCTCAACCTAACTAATTAAAATTAATTATAAAACATTCTTTTTCCAGTTAGCTTATGTGTTTCAGGAGACTGCAGTTATGTATTTGTGCGTACAATATTTGCAGCATATAGCTTGAGTGATTCTGTGCATCTGTTTTGCAGCCACTCATTAAGCTGTTAATTTGGAATATAAAAACGTTTGGATTCTGAACACAGAACTTGTCTGGACTTAGGTCAAACGTGTCACGGCTAAGCTTTGTTTTCTGCAGGAATGACCCCAGTTCTCATTCCACCGGCGCTGCTTTGTCTTGGTTCACATCAGGTCTATTATAAGTGCCTGCAAAGGCAATATTTTTTTTCTTAATAGCCTACTTGTGCAGGGCACATTTTTAACTGTCAGAGAGATTGTGCCCTTCCTCCCTCAGTATTTAGAGGTTGTCTACAAGCTGGTCCTAAGGCAATACTTTGAAGAACTGCAAAGCAGCCATAGGATCTAGTCCAAGTTACCTATGAGGCCTGAAAGTCACTAAGAACTGTACTTCACTTCTAGAAAACATCCAGAAAATGGATATGGCAATTGGTGATGGCAATTGTCTTAGAAATATTTTGAAGTTGTAATAGTGATTATTCATAAAACATTTTTGAGACCTTCCTATGAAAGGTACTGGTTATGTTTTACTTTAATGGTTTTGGCTAACTTACCGTCTTTCAGAGAAGCACTTTATTTTCTTTGTCCAAAGCAGATGGAATCCCTGCCCGCTATGTATATGAGCACTGAAAAAAATGAAAGGAAGTGAACACATTCTATGGGATTTGACATGGTCCAAGAGTGATTACAAATTTATAATCCACTTGGGGGACTTTGCTGATTTCTTAAGCAGCTTGAGTGGTTTATGAACAGCATGCAATTTCATTGTGAATGTCAGATTAATGCTAGATGAATGCTTTAAGTAAAATTTATGCTATCTTAGGTCGATTTATTTAACCCATTGAAATGTTTTTATACTCTGTTTTATGGTTTACATTACTAACTATAGCATATATATTCCCTTTCCTGACAGATTGACAATATACCTATTAAATTAAATGCTGCAGCTATTTTAAGAGAGGGTGCCCTCTATCAGCGGAAAATGGAACAGGAGCTCAAGAGGTATAATCACATTTCTTTCTCAGATTACTTTTCACATTCCTGGATATAGAATAATTAACCACATTAAAAATAAGTAAGTATACTACAAGTAAACTAAAATAATGAATCTGTTGCAAGGCACTAGGAAGGTATTCTATAAACATGGTTGACAAATAAAGAGAAAAGTGGCCTGAAATGAAAGTCTACATTAATGTAATTGTTTTCCTGTAGATGCAATACAGTGTGAGTCTGTTCTGATTTAGCACTCCGGCTAGTGTCCACTTGCAAGTCCAATAAGGATAACTTGGTATATATATTCCAATTCTCCAGAATAAACAGTGACCCAAATACACATCTATTTCTGTGTCCTTCATAAAAGATGCATATATATTAAGACAAATCATTTAATATACCTCTATTCATCCTTCTCGGAAAAGAGAAGGCTCCGGGGGGACGTTATAGCGACCTTCCAATACCTGAAAAGTGCCTATAAGAAATCTGAGGGAGAGCTGTTAAATATGGCATCTAGCAATAGGACAAGGGGTAATGGTTTTAAACTAGAAAAGGGTAAATTTAGGTTGGATATTAGAAGAAAGTTCGTCACTATGAAGGTGATAGATCAATGGAACAGGTTGCCCAAAGAGGTGGTGAAGGCCCCATCCCTGGAGATATTCAAGGTCAGGCTTGATGGGGCTCTGAGCAACCTGATCTGGTAACAGTGCCCCTGTTTACTGTAGGGGTTGGACTGGATGATTTTCAAAGGGCCCTTCTGACCCAAATACATTCTATGATTCTATTCTTTTCTTCAATGGTTTCTGGTCAAAAACATGCCAAATTTGATACTTGAACTTGTTTAAATGTATATAAAAGTACCTGTCCACTTCCATCACGGTAAGATATGAAGGACTAAGCATGTGCTGCTCCAGAAGGCAAGATAAGCCAGGAGCTGGGGGTGACAGCAAGGCATGCAGGGACAATGTCCTCACTGACAGCAGCTCAGTTCCACGGTACTCTGCCAAGGCAGCAGAGCGGATCCAGTAACAGACAGAAGGGTCAGCCACGGTCCACTGATTGCTCAATGAGTCCATGGTGATGAGTCAGGGCTGAAGTCAAGCCAGAAAGCCAAGTCAACAAGGCAGGGTCAACAAGGTACCAGGCTGGGTGCAGGTGTACCTACAGCATAGCTTAAGCAATGACAAAGGCTGTTAACATCAGCTTAAATGTGGCTCCCAGTAAGAAACTACACACACACACCAGGACTTTCCATACCTTTCCTCACACAGTTTTTTGCACTGCAGGCTGATCCAGTGTGACACAGTCGCACTGCAACAGAGCTGTCTTTGAACACAAGCAACTAAATCCTATGCAGGGGTGGGGAATAAAAGGTTGCAGATCCTTTTGGTGCACTTAGGGCTCAAAGAAATCCTGACATAATTATTCATCTGACATAAGGAATCCTTATTCAGCAGCAATAGGTTTTCAGCAACATCAACTAGGGAGAGGTTGACTCCTGAACGGACACTGGAGGTTGTAACTACTACTAGAATTACAGAGCATTTTCACTAATAATTTTAACAAAGATAAAACCTGTATCATGTCATCTTGATTTAGTATTATTTCTAATCCACCTGACTTAGCAGGCTAAGCAGTAAATACGGTTACCATTTTAACTTCTGGAATGACTGCATAAGGTTGGATTTGCTCTTTGGACCCAGCAAATTTTGGTATACAGATCAGGATTTTAGCAGTAAGATATTATGCATCACTCAGCTTCTGTTATCAGCTATGTATGTATACTGGAGTTCTTTTATATTACATATGATACTGTTCATTCTGTCTGGCAGAATTTTGTTCCACTCAGCAAAGGAATACATTTTCCCCATAACTTAACACTATTTTATATTGAGATTTAATCTGCAGCTGCATTTAACACACAACAGATGTATATAGACATATATATGTGCATTGGGGAGCTGCAGTAAGTGTCTCTGCCCTAATTCTTGGCTCTCTCAATCCTCTGCTCCAGGACTTTGATGGGCCTGCCTCAGGGCTTTGCTATGCTTTTCACTCTTAGCTGAGCACAAAAAATAAAAATGTGGTTTTGCTTAACAGCTGAACATTTCTTTGCCTCATTACAGCAATATTATGTAATTGACAAAATTCAAAATAGAAATAGAATTAAGCAGAGAAGGTTTTAGTTCTCTGTGGCCATGAAGATTGCCAAAGAGAAAAGTTATTTGTTCTACCTGTAAACAAAGTAATCCCCTGAGAAAATGTACATACCTTCAGCCTGATTCTCCTTGCTCCTTAGGAGAATCCATATGTAGCTAAAGTTTGCCCTCTCTTGGGGCTTTGTTTTACTGAAAACATTCAGGTCTATGCCCTCATACACGTTCTTACAGCCTGGCTTTACTAGGCTTTCCACACAGTAGGAATACCTCTTAGACTGGAGTTTAAATATGTCTTTCAAATGACTTTGTGATGACTGCCTTTTTTTCTCTGCAGAAATCAAACAACTTATATCACAGTGAACTCCTAGAAAGGTTTTACGAACCAAGGCAGGGCTGCAGAGCCAGATCCCTTGAACAGTATACTCCTTCTCTCTTGCAGAATTGAAAATTTGCTACAGGGGGCTAGAGACCCAACTGAATTCTTGGAATGGCAAAAACAGATGCATGGAAAAGATCTGGAAGAGCAGCTGGCTGAAATAGAGTGCAGGAGGCTTCAAGGGAAACTGAGTTTTGAAGAAGCAGTTGTAGCCCATCAGAATGTAATTCAAGAAAATAAGAAGAAAGCTGATCTAATGAGAGAAGAGGTAATACATGCAACATTGCTCAAATCCTGCTTACATTCAGTCAGTGCAGAACATACCACAGATGGTACCTACTATAAGAAGGTGTAAAAGTTCTGTACAGTGTCTTTACTCACTGGAGTCGGCAAACTATGGAAAAATTGAGCTATAACTTCCAGATACAGCAGTGCTTATACATTAAAGTATTTTTTACAAGTGTTTGATTTGATTTATAACACTTATGAAGTAAATTGGATAAAACAGAAGGTTAAAGCATTCTCCCCTATATTCATGTCATTGTGCATATCCTTTTTGAACAGATACTGAGATACTAAACACTATTTGCAATGAAATCACCTATATATGACTAATTTCATTGTCTTGTTAAAATGAGAACCACAAATATGAAAGAATTTGTTTTCTTAAACTGATAGAATTCAACTTACTTCATATTACCTGACATGCCTAGGTCTCTCTTAGGGGAAAATTCAGGCAGAGAACCATTTTTGGATCTATATACAAGGCAAACTGAATATTTATGCCAAGAAGTATTTTCACACAGTTTCCAATCTGGCAAATCACAGTTTCCCAAAAACATTGCTAGGTCTTTTCATTTTTTTTCCCAAACTCACATAATATTTTCCCAGTGCTTTTCCTATAAACTAAACACGTGATCAAGAAATAACTAATACTATAGATTTTAAAGTTTTCATAGTCACTATCACAGGCTTTTCTTTTCTGTTAGCCAGTTTGCTGCTATGCCCTGTAGGCCAGCCAGTATTTTTCTCTTGGCCCCTCTCACAGATGGCTCTGCAGTGTCTCAGCAATTTAAGATGCAACCACAAATGTACATGATTTTCATAAAGGCCACACTGCAAAAGGGAAACTTGCTTAATGAGTTCCTTCTCTGTCCTTTAAAAAAAAAAACTTTCAACCTTTTTTGGCGTTGAGTCTTCATGTCTGTTTAGACAAGCTGTAGAAAGAACTTGAAGTGAACCCTACTATGTACATGCATTCCTAGTCTGGGAAAATCCAGTTCCCTGCTTCCTGTTCATTTCCTTTGACACAGAAAGAAACATAATAGCCAAAAGTAGACTTTCTGTGTATTACAGAGATATGACTTAGACCCAAGAAGATCCTGCATGGACACAACAAGCTGCATATTATATGGGCACTCTTCTTGGTATCTGAAAACCAGATCCAGAGATGGCTTTTTTTGACTGCTTTTAGAAACATGTTGAAGGGAATCCTGGAAAATGGCAGTGCAAATGTTACAGAGGGCTGTTGAGGGTAAATAAAACATAGAGAGAGAAGCTTAAATCTAGGTCTCTATGTATTGTCCCCAGACAACGTCCTTTGCTACTTTTGTGGATGTTGTAATGCTTCAAGTCCATTTGTCCTTGTACTATTTCAATGTTTTGTGACACTCAGTTACCAACAGTTGTCAGGAATTTTATTAACCTGTTTTTTTGGGATTTAGAAAGCAGAGCTGATGCACCAGTATGCAGAGAAACGTCTACAGGAACAGAAAGAATTGAGAGAGCTGGTGGAACAGATCATGGAAGAACACAAGAATGCAAAGCAAGCAAAAGTAAAGCTCCAGAAATACAAACAGCAGATAGGTATCTATATATTGCCAAAAAAATGAGAGATTGTGCCAAATGTCCCCAAATTACTTTATCTTTCTTTTAATGTGCCAATTACATTTTTTACAGAAAGGAAAGAGAAGTTGAGGGAAAGATCCAGGCTATACATTCCCTTGAATGCATGAATATGAATTCCAGGAATAAGTTGGTAATGGGTAGATCAGAAATTCTAAGCTACTGGTCATGGGAAATAGTCTTTATTTGAAAGGGAGAAATACAGCACTAATGTTCTGCAACTAGTTTCCCTTCCATCTAAAAGTAGCATATGTGAATGACTGTACTTTTTGTCAAATCAAGTTATGAAGCTCAGATTCTTGTGATTCATATGATTAAGAAAGGATTTGCCTAGCAACCACTGTGAAAGAATCATGGCTCAAGATTATTGTCTTCTCTAGAGAGGACAGTCCAGAGAAGACTATAGCTAAGGAAGGAAAACCCATCTCCTAGAAGGACAGTATCACAAGGGAGAAAGATGTAGCACCTCCAAGACAGACCAGTTGTTAGGATGATGGGAAATAATGTTACTCATCCTCTATTATTCTTGAAGAAAATTCTCCAGTTAATGCATTAGCTAATGAAGTCCAGGGAGAAGGCTGTTCTGACTGGCATGGCTGCACATATGCCAATGCAATGCCACATTAACATCTACTGTATGAATAGGCTACCTCTAGTTGTGCATATTTTGGTGAGCAGACTTTTCTCTGCTTGCGTATCTCCATACTTGAATCAGTAAGGGCTGATGCAGGCAAGAGGGTGTTAGCCACTCTGAAAAGCCCTACCAGCCTTTGTAATTCAATAATTTCTATCACATATATAGCTTGAAAAACTATGAATATTTGCTATTTTCTAATACTTTTTTATTAAATAATGCAACAGCATGCACTACTTAGAACAGAAATTACAAAGCAGTAACTCAAAGTGCCTAAGTACATATACAGTATGTTTATGTGTTGAATAGAATGATAGATAGTGGAGGTGGGAAGTACTCATTTGTTTCTCTACTCATTCCTCCCACCAATGCCAGACTGTTCCCTCAAGTATTATTATTATCAGTATTATTATCGTTATTCACAAGTGCATATGAATTATCCTCCAGATGGACTACTTGTTAAGATATGCAGCCAGCTAACAGAGATTAGTTCTTTTCTTACAGTTCAGGAAGTTTGTGAAGAAAATCGAGAACTTCTTCGGCAAGCTTTAGAAGAAGAGGAGGAGAAGCTTAGGAAAAAATATGAACTAATTCAACAGATACGAGCTATTGAGTCTTTACCAAGCCTCAGACACAAGTTTGTTGATTTAACTGAGGTAAGCTCAAAAGGAAAACCTACTGTTTTTACATAAATGTGTATTGTACATGTTTCACACATTTGGAGGAACTGTGTGCAGATATGCATTAAGTACAAAGTGACCTCATGATACAGAGTTTAGAACTGAACTGGAACTTTCACAGAGTCGATAAAATTAAAATTTTACCAGGAAGAATATTTTGATGGTAAGTGAAATCTTAGTCCCCTTGAAATTTCTTCTAATTTTGCCACTAGGATCTGGGTTGATTCACAAATTAAATAAACATACATGGCTTGTCTGCAGAAACCATACAGAAGAAACAGGTCTTCCTCCCATGAGGCTGTTGGAACAGTCAATACGATGCTTTAATTTTATCTCCTGCTCCTCTGAAGAGAACTGAGCCATTCATTGATTCCAAAGTGACCTACTGTCTTTGCAGCCACCAGATAAATCCCCCACCTCATTTATCGGATTTTAGAATACATTTAATGTTAAAGTGTGAAATAAGTGAACAAGAATAAAATCAGCTCCTTAGATGTCCCATCCTCCTTTACTCTCTTTGGTTGCCTTTACGGCTTCTGCTATTATTTCTCCACTTCTTTTCCAGCCAAAGAAAGCAATTATCTTTTTTCAAACCCAGACTTACTCCACTCATTTATGAAGACATACTACTGAACCACAATGGAGAAAGCAGGGGAAAATAGGAAGAGTACAAAGAATTATTGTACACCACAGATACTGTAAACTGTCTGCATGGAAATGCCAAGAGGTACTCCAATCTATAGGTCTTCTACTGCTTCAGATAGAGTTGAACATGGTGTCAACCCTAAACAGCACCCTTAGCATATTTATATCTCACTGCATATTTATTACCCAGATGATTCAGTCATAAGATGTAGGCTGCAGAGACACAATAGTATAATGTAGTCGGATGTGGAAATGTCATGACTTTTTCAATCAGAACAACTTCTGTAACATGGTGCAGGCGGAAAGGTGACTAGAATGTCAGTGCATTCTTGGTTTTGAACCTAGTTCATTTCATTGCCACTTACAGTGCCTGTTGACCCCTCACACAGAACTTCCACTGAAATACTGTTTGTTTTTTAAGTACAGAATATGGCTTTAAATACATTTTCCCATCTAGCTCCTCTCAAAAGACAAAGCAGAAAGCCAGCAGGTTTCAAGTCATAGATGAAAAACTCATTTGAAATCCAAGCTTGTCCTGTGTATAAGGTTACTGAAGTGTGACGCTGCTGAAAATTGAGTGGCCATACAGGTCATATTGCAAGTACAAGAGAATGGACCTGAATGATACAAATGCGTAAGGAATTGGCTGGATGGCCACATCCAGATTTACAGTCAATGGCTCAATATCCAAGTGGAAACCAGTAATGAGTGGTGTCCCACAAGAGTCTGTACTGGGACCAATACTATTTACTGTCTTCCTTAATTTCATAGATAGTGGCATTAAGTGCACCCTCAGCAAGTTTGTGAATGCCACCAAGCTGGGTGGTGCAGTTGATGATACACTCGAGGAAAGGGACCTTGGCAGGCTTGAGGAGTGTGCCCATGTAAACCTCATGAAGTTCAGCAAGGCCAAGCGCAAGGTCCTGTACCTGGGTCAGAGCAGCCCCTGGTGTCAATACCGGCTGGGAGATTAATTGATTGAGACCAATTCTGAGTCCTGGAGAGAAGGAGTTGGGGTGTTTGGTAGATACAAAAATTTGATGTGAGCTGGCAATGTGCACTTGCAGCCCAGAAAGCCAACCATATCCTGGGCTGCACACTTCTTTTTAAGCTTGACCAGCAGGGAGGTGACTCTTCCCTCTGCTCTGCTCTTGTGAGACACCACCTGGAGTACTGCGTCCAGTTCAGGGGTCCCCAGTGCAAGAAAGACAAGGACCTATTAGAGTGGGTCCCGAGGAGGGCCACAGAAATTATCAGAGGCCTAGAACATCTCTCCTGTGAAGACAGGCTGAGAGAGTTGAGGTTGCTCCTGGAGAAAAGAATGCTCCGGGTAGACCTTATTGTGACCTTTCAGTATATAAAGGGGCTTAAAAGAAAGATGGAGAAAGATGTTTTACCAAGGCCTGTAGTGATAGGACAAGGGGCAATAGTTTTAAACTGAAAGAGGTTAGATATAGATTGGACATAAGGGAGAAATGGTTGCCCAGGGAATTTGTGGATGCCTCCTCCCTGGAAGTGTCCAAGGACAGGTTGGATCAGGCTTTGAGCAGCCTGGTCTGGTGGGAGATGTCCCTGACCATGGCAGGGGGGTTGGACTGGATGAGCTTTTTGGTCTCTTCCAACCCAAATTGTTCTATGATTCTGTATCTCAACTTCACAGTTCCCTTATTCTCACTATTACAATAGCACTCTGAGTGAATTAGCACACTTCTGGTGATAGCTTGCCCTGTTTTTTATCTTTCTTTTGTAGAAAGGCTTTTTCAGACTTAATGAAAAATTCCAAAAGGGTCCATAAAATTCTCATTCATTCTCATAATATTTAAAGTACCCAGTTCTTCCCTTAATGGCACTTAAGTTTCTTGAACACCAGCATTACCTCCTGCACAAATATAGGACTCTTCATATTTTAGGAACCATGTCACTGTCTTCACTGAATGTTTTTGAAATGCAGACACCCAAAATATTCACTCTCTACCATTCTATCCTTCTAGGAAATTCTCTTTCCTAGACCTTTTCGGTGTCTGATTGCCACACTCAAACACAACCACTGCCTTGTTGCAAAATATGTTCCCATTACTTCCTGCGAATACAACTTGATGGTCATTGACTATTTTGAATTAGAGGCAAGTTGTTACTGCACTTGCTATTTGCAAATTCACTCTAAATTGAAATCTGAGGAGATAAATGATGATTTACTGTTTTGGTAGCCTATGGTAGTACATATTTTTCAGAGAGATGCAAAAATAAAGACTGCTTAATATTGAACTCTTTTATCAGTCTTCTGATTAGTCTCCTACTGATGGTGACCAATGTTTAAGTCATATTTGGTACACATAAGGAGCGTGAAAGCAGAAACCACTGAACCAAAATGGAATAGTCAGACTTTAGGTGAAAAAAAGTGATTATTTTTTATTGACTCAACTTTTGAAGCTTTAGAAAGAGCAGCTATGGGAATCAAAACTGCAGGAAAGACTCTTGTTGATCTTAGAGGTGTCCCCAGGGACGGCCACTCAAAACACATCCTCCTTCACTGACAAGCTTGTATCATTAGGTTCTCCAGACTAACTCAAGAATAGGATCTATTAAGCACCGATATTGTAGTAGCAGAGAGCCAAGTTATTTGCCTTACTCTATTTTGTGGTTTTATTGCCCCTGCCCACCCCCCCACCCCAACCTTACTGTTTTCTTCATGTCTCTCAAGGTAAGGTTACCACCTTGACTTCCTACACACCCACATATTCCATTATAACATGCCATGGTACAAGATATACACAAAATATATGTACCAAAACTATGTTCAGATAGACAAAAGAATAATAGTTGGTGTGAAATGGGTTAAATTATCCAAAGAAAGCTACACAAAAGCTTGGTATTTGTGTAGGTTTATGCAAGTTTTCCATATATGCAGATGTATATATGTGTAGACAGGGGGAAAGGAAAAGTATATGTAAGAGTAAGCACCGAAAGCTTTGAGTGTTCCCAAATCTGTTTAGAAATCATCTGTCTTCATATGCAAACTAAAGTGCAGAAGTTTCTCATTACATCTCAGAATCAGGCTCATTATCCCTCTCATCATGAAGGGGATTTTAAAATGCCTTAATTAAACATTCAGGTTTGAATATTTTAACTTTGGGCATTAAGATCTGAATTCCCTGGATACAAACTGTTGTTTAGTTCTAGTCTTTTCTGATAAAAACAGTAGATGCCATCACAGATCAAATCCATACTTTGGAAATAGATAAATGCAAAAAAATTGTGTATTTTTTAGTCTGTTCTGGTTTTACAAACTAAAAAAAAATGCAGTTTTACACATTTTAAAACTTCAAAAGTCTAATTAAAGGTAAAAGATAAGTCAACTAGATTTTTTTGGACAGCAAATACATAATTATTATTAATCTACTGTATATTTCAGTGCTTTTTCATGAAATGTTCTATGAGCCTTGTGTTTTCACACAAGATAAGATCTACACCTTAAAAAACAGCTTGTAAATAACAGTTATGTTAGTTAGAGGCATCCCTATATTTCTTGAAGTCAAAATATATTCAGCATGATTTGGAATACAATCAAAATATTCTGGTTTTACTCATGTACTCTCCCCTTGGTATTTACAGTGTTTTTTAAACCTATATTTAATGTTCTCTAGACTGGCGGCCATGGTTTGTTTTGTGAAATGTCAATAGTGGAACTACGTGAACGCCTCGCTCTGCTCAAAGAAGCACAGAAGGAAGCAGAGGAAGAGAAGAGAGACCAGATAATTCATGAAAAACAAGCCAAGGAACAACTTCTTCTAGAGACACTGGACCAGATTTCCCTGTTCAGAGCAGAACTTGGACGAGCAGCTGCTTTAAAGTCAGTGTAAAACAGCACGTGACATTTAAGACATCTCTACTTTGTTAATATTTTGCTAGCCCCTTGAGGAGAAAAACAAGTAAAGAGCAACATACTGCCCTTTTGTAAACCAGTATGACTTTTGTCAAGGATTACACTGGGTCCAGGATTTCCTTTTTATTCTTGAAAATAATTAGTATCAGATGTAACAAATCTTTTTCATCATTTATGGCTGAAGAAGCTCTGTAGGCTAGTGCTGACAGTATTGCCCCAGGATTCAGAGCCAATACTATATATAGAGAAAGTAGTTCTGCCTTTCTTCTGTTCCCTTTCAGCTAATCAGGACTAATTTGATGTTATTAGAATCATCCTAGCTTGCCACTTAAATTGGTTTCTCACTGTCATCTAAACCAATACATTAGGGCTATCATTTTCTTCCTTGAACTTCATTTGTTATGTTAAAAGGCAGGCCTTATTCTAGTAGTTAAAAATATTTTTGGAAGGAGATTTTCTGATAACAATAAGAAGTTCTAAATTAAATATATTTTAGCAGTAGATCAAAGAGAAAATTCTTCGCTTAAAGGCTCTCTGATCAAATTATGTATTAATTATTCATATTTATTATTCATTATCATATTTATTATTCATTGTCATAAAGGATCCATAACCATCATAGATGTTTCATATATGCAGAAGACAGGTCCCTTTCACAAAGAGTTTAAAATCTAACTTAAAGCTATTTACAAATAAAGCTTAGCAGGAAGAAAGCCTGTGTAAAAGTATAAAAGATGGCACACAATCTTATGCCATTTTTACTGCATCTTGACTATTTGCCATTGTTTTCTTGCAAGTTGTCTTTCACCTGTTCCTTTTTGTAGGTTTGAGAGGTTCGTCCTTGTCGTGCCATATTTATTTTGCAAACAGATGTTCAGGCTGACATCCTAAAGACATACTCTCTCAGGCTAAAACCACACCTCTTTAGACATGTCTTAGATGTACATTTATTGCTGAGGTACCAAAGGCGGCTTCTTAGAGTTCAATTCATGTTACTGATTTATCATCCAGTTCTAAATTTCAATTACAGAAGGCAGTATTGATGTGTCCATTTAACTGGTTTTCACTAGTCCCAGCTCTAATTTGGTTTGTTGATGATAGTCTCCAAAGACTGGAGTTTTACTACGTTAGTACTTAAGACAGTTAATGAATTTAATGAATCAATAACTGCAGCTGCAGTGGACTGACTGCATAGGTCAGTGACGTCTCTTCTATGGCATATATTGAGAAAAGATTTTAAGACTAACGAGCCTGAAACAAAGCTGGAGCTGGAAACATACTCTCATTGCTAAACATTCACTGTGGGAGCCTGTGGGAGCAACTCAAGCTGCTGCTTTCCACCAAAGATGCAAACTAGACATTAAGAACTTGAGTACTATGTAAAACCTGTTTCACTAGTAACTACATAAAGAATTATTTGTTATGCTAGATGTGCAGTTTGTGAATTTTGTATAGTGCTGGGTTCCTTTAAAAAGACTCTGGCTTAATGCACCTCTAAAACTGTTCTGATCCTGAAATAAGCTATACTTGAATGAGAAGCTAGCCTTGATTCACTTTTTGTCCTGACATTTGAAATGTTTTTCAGAACAGACCAGCATGCCAGAGATGGCAGAATCCAAAAGAAATGAAACGCTTAATTTGCAAGCTTCTAGTCAGACTCATGATAAGTAACACAGTAATTTTAATAGAGTCCCGTTTGCTCTCCAAATAAAGACAAGAGAAAGTTTCATTATAGATGTTATAAAACATTTCCTTGCATGGCTCCCAGGCAATGTATGTACGTAACTTGAGAGCATCTACTATAAAGAAGCATCATCAAAGTATACCAGAAATAATGTTCTTTGGGAGTGTATTTAATGTATTTTCACCTAGAATGCGAATCTATGGTGTTATTTCTGTTAATATAGGAATACAGCATACTGACCTGTTTGCAAATGCTAGACACTTCGCTGCAGCTTTTATTTCTCTCTAAACAAACTATGGGCTTTGTGTGTAAATCTGATTTACATATCTTGAATCCTGAAATATCTATCAAATCAATGTGAGTGATTAATTGCTTGGGTTGTATTATTGGCAGAGTGCACAGGAGATGTAAAACCAAACTTTCATGTTTACAGAATTAATTCATAATTATAGGGATAGAATAGCAAATCTTACCAATAGTCTTTGTAAGATAGCTTTATGCATCAATATAAAATTACACATTGTATCTTAAATTGCATTATGTTAAAGACTACTGCTAAGCAGCTAAAGTACAGTGGTTAAGCTTTGCTAAACAAATGTGCTTTAGTGTCAGCAGGAGTTTAACTGGGTCCCTACCAAACAGGCTCCTTTCAACATCATTTACAAACAGACATCCATCAACACAAAAGCAGCACATTGAGCAGGCATATAATGAGCTATATTAAGCAATATAGGAAACAGAACATGAAAAATTACAGAAATGTCCGCCTCTAGTAGATTGCAAGTTGTGACACCCATCACAGCAGTGGCTTTTCGAGTGCTTGCAGAACACTTAAGAATCAGTCCAGTATTTATGCAGAACACTCTTTAATTGCTACAACTTCACACAGCTTGAAAATCAGCACTGGTATATGAAGTGGACAAACATTTGAGTTCTCAGCTTTCAGACATGAGCACCAAAAGATTTATGAGTGTTAATGTACTGAAGTGATGTGCCTGTATACTTCAGGTATCATTCCCTTTCATTCCAGTGAGGCTCCATCTATTACTGCGAGTGATTTACTTCACTAAGAACCAAGCAACAGATCAAACCAGTTGGTGCTGAGGCTCCCTCCCTCCACATTATCCGTGATTTGGAGGTTTTTACTTCAGGTTGGATTTAGTCTGGTCTTAGAACTGCATGCTCTCACCATTCACAGGATTTAAAGCTGCTCAGAGGAAAGTTACCCCACCAAACTTCTCATACTCAGTTCCTGGATCCTCTGCAAGCCCATCTAGTGAACACCACACCATGCTTTTGTTTGTCTTGCATAAATGACAGTAGCACATCCATACCCCCAACAGCCACTGGCACATGTGAAGTACGCTGAAGCCAGCCTTATTTCTGTTCTTGCTCATGTTCCTGCCTTGTTTGTTTTTCTGCTCATTTTCGAGTTACACAATGGTGTCTGCTGCCCCAGCCTCCTCCCCTCTCCAAGTCAGGGCAACATTCAAATGAAGGTAGCAACTGCTCTTCCAGGGCAACACTCTGAACCGACATTAATCATCCTTGACTTCCATGTATGAGGAAGAAAAATCAGAAAATTGTTACGAGGAACAATACGCGCAGACTCCCACCAACACAAAAGCTTCCCATATCCCCATCTTGCACTGTAGTAACGGTGTAGCATGCTGGGGTCTCAGCACTGGATTACAAATGATGGTGTGTGCTTGCCAAGGCAGCAGAGAACTCTTTCCTCTCCCTGCCACTGCCAGCGGCACTGACCACAGACCAGTATAACACCTCTCAGCCTGAACTGGGGAGGAGTGGAAATAGCATGAGGGCAGCCATGGCAAGGGAAAAGTAGAACGAGCTCCCTAAAGCAGGCGTTGCCTGGAGTGTCCAGGTCTGTGGGGGGGTCAAAGGCCTTTTGGGCAAAGAGGGGAGAATGGAGCCCCATCCGCCCAAACCTTCAACACACCCTAGCAGCACAACCCTCTGATGCAGCACACAAGTGAAGGAAGGGGCAGACAGTATACAGAAGTGGAAAGATAAAACAGGGGAACATGTACCATGCTATCCCCACGCGTGGCTCTTGCTTCAGTTCTTCAAAACATAGCCTAGAATAATGAAAAAGCCTGAATAGTTAGAAATACAAGGGGCTTTGGTCTGATACTTCATAATATTAGTGATTTAATTAATTTCACAATTTTAATAAATACTTAAGGTTCTATGTAAGTTTGCAACAAGGAGGTAAGATTTAGTTTCTCAGTCCCTATTCCTGGTAATGAGCTCTTCACTAGCACTGAAACAGGAGGAATTTTATCAGCAATGATGGATCAGAAACTTTACCATATGAAGAGAGGCTGTAAAGAAGACAGAGCCATGCTTTTCTTAGTGGTGGCCAATGAGAGGACAAGAGGCAGAAGAGGAGACAGGAGGTTCCCTCTGAATATCAGGAAATGCTTTTTTACTGTGATGGTGACAGGGCACTGGCACAGGTTGCCCAGAGAGGTTGTGGAGTCTGCCATCCTTGGAGCTATCCAGAAGTCTGGACATGGTCCTGGGCAACTGGCCCTGCTTGAGCAGTTGTGGGTGGACAAGATGACCTGCAGAGGACCCTTCCAACCTCAACCATTCTGTAACTCTCTGAACGAACTTTGATTATACAGCTTCATAATCCCTATTTCAAACAAGGAAAACACTGTTGTGAATAACAATCACTTCCCCACCTAAAATTAGGTGCTTAATAAGTTAATTGTTTTGGAAGCAAGTCAGATTTTGAGTGCTTAAATCCCTCACATTAGTACAAAATAGTAATCAATCTAACTGTAGTGTTCTTAAATGTCTAAATAGCAATTCCCTTAACAGTGAACTGTTAACTGGTGGATACATCCATTTTCTGCACTGCAGTAACTAAGAATTATATAGTACAGGACAGAAAAAAGGCAAGATACTGTGACGTACCAACAGCCCTAGCCACTGAGACTGAGAGTATGAGGAAATACATTTTTAAAAAATGGTTTATAGCACTATAAGGCAATCCTGCTTCTGCTTTTAAAAATATGTTTGTGTTTGTTGCACAAGACTTCATTTTGTAAGGTGAGCTTATAAATACAGTCCTAACTGCTTAAATTGGTATTTTGGCACCTAGAATGGTCAGGTAAACGGCTCCATCTCTTGCAAGTTATTGAATGAGTTAAGAGCTGTCTCTGATAAGCCTGTCTCCTGATACTTTGGATGTACAGCTGGAGTTTGAAAATGTAAATGAAAAGCAAAATGCAGTTTTCAGGAGGAATCCTCTGTGCAAATCTTCAGACTCCTCGTTTTTTAAACACAGCTGAGAAGGCTTAATTCAACTGTTCCATGTGTTTTCATTTCCTACAGGAAAACCTTTAGAGTCCATTTGGCCAGATGTTAAAATTGCAGGGCAGAGAGTTAAGTAATTGCAAGGGATATGTAAGTATCCCTCCCTTATGTAAGACTGCCAAACTCCATGACAAGTTAATAAATGTGACGTAAAAAAATACTTATATATTTTTAAAATTCATTACATTTACTAAGGAAATCATTGATACAACAAATAGGGATGTCAACTGCACTTTACGATGCCTGGAATTTTAAAAAGAAAGACACATTTTACCCATCACTGATGGAATTTTTCTGTACTTCATCATCGTGAGCGAAAACCTTTCTGCTGTTGACTGCACACATAGCTTACACAGAAAGTGAACAGTGAATAAATCAGTGGTAGATAAAGAAATTTTCACTGTTTGCTTTTGTATCTGTATTCTGTTGAATTTTTCATTAATACCTTACTTTTCCTCCTTTGAGTAGCTTATATGTACACCCTACACTGCTACAAACTCCCATAAGCACGTTCAAGAATCTCATCTTGTTCCTTAACAATAAAAGGTACTTTCTGAAAGGTCACTAAGCAAAAAGTAGAGTTTTTAAAACCATTTCAAACAAATGCTTAAAAAAATATTACCATTTCTTTCAAAGTCTTTGGTAGTTTTTTTGATTTTTTTAAGTATGACAGACTGACAAAGGGAAGGAAGACTCTTGTCTGAGACCAAAAGAGAAGAAAATTAACAAATTCTCCTTTGGACCACGGCTTTGACATTACATTTCAGGAACTAGTACTATCCTTAAAGATTGCTTTTCATTCAAGGTGCTCATTCAATACCAGTAGCTGGTAAATAACCTTAAGAGTAAAATTATAATGGTTTCTGAGTATTTCTTCATAAATTATAACATACTTTTCTATTGAATCTGGAGAGGATTTTTTCTAACTATCTACTACCCAATTCTGACTGGCTGTGACCTTACTTAGAACATACCTGCTATGGGGTGACAGAGCTTTTTCTCTTGAGTTTTTTTTTTCCTCTTAAGCTTTTTCTGTCTCGAGTCCTGAAAGTTCTCAGCTGAACATCACACAAAAAGAGAATTTAACATTTCTTTTCTCTCCCTCTCTGAGGGAGCTGGGTCTCTTTAGTTTGCAAAAGAGGAGACTGAGGGGAGACCTCATTCATGTTTATAAATATTTAAAGGGTGAGTGTCACGAGGATGGAGCCAGGCTCTTCTCGGTGACAAACAATGATAGGACAAGGGGTAATGGGCACAAGCTGGAACACAGGAGGTTCCACTTAAATTGGAGAAGAAACTTCTTCTCAGTGAGGGTGACAGAGCACTGGACCAGGCTGCCCAGAGAGGTTGTGGAGTCTCCTTCTCTGGAGACATTCAAAACCCGCCTGGACGCCTTCCTGTGCAACCTCATCTAGGTGTTCCTGCTCCGGCAGGGGGATTGGACTGGATGATCTTTTGAGGTCCCTTCCAATCCCTAACGTTCTGTGATTCTGTGTGATTCCTTCCCCTCTTTGAGTTTCTGTTATGATGTGGAGTGGCATCTGAAAATCTATGGGATTGGCAGCTTTTTGGAATAACGTAGATGACTGGCACATGACTTCATGTAGAAGAGGATTGAATATTCGTCTTAGGATAAGCAACTATTTACAAAGTTAATTCAGAAGCAGCTGCTTCATGATGTTGAACCTCCTGCTGTATTTCCTGTAATTGTATTTACAAGAATCTGGATTTGCATGTAATGAAAGGTTTTGCAGCTTATTCTCACTGACAATATTTAATCATCAAGTGTTTACCTAAAACCTCATTGTTATATTCTCCTGCATCCCTTGGAATGCAGTGGCTTGTTACAATGCAAATAGAAATAATCCACGTTCTCAATTAGATTAAATGATAGTACATAATTTTCAGATTTACAGAATAGTGTTAAAAATTGATGTCAGTGTGACAGAGCATGTCATGGTATTTAAAAGGGTAAGGAAGTGTTGGCCTAAGGAGATAGCATGACACAACCAGCAGAGAGGTTCAGGAAGTGTCTTAGGGAAAGCAACCGTAAATGAGAAGCCAAGCTTAACTATGCCCCTTATTTAGAGTTCATACTCCCATTTCAGAATGTAACCCATGTCAAACCTCCCCTTCACCCCATTCCTGAGGATTTTGGGAACTGTAGTCCAAAATGGCTGCTCTGAAGAATACCTGCTGTTACAGACAGCTTCCTATCAGCAAAGATGAAGCTGACAAGATAGACAAAAGCTACCTCTCCCAAGATGAAAAAAGTGTTTGGATCCCTGGAATCTGGATACAGACACTTTTTAAGGAAAATTGGTGGGTTTAGCATCAGAAGGAAGTTCTTCCTTCTTCCTCTTCCTCCAGCTCCTTGAAAAGATGTGCCTTATACTGAAAACATTGTGGTATAAGACCCGAGAGATAAGGGAAGAGTTCTGTTGTAAAACATTTCCAAGGGGCAACCTGTCTGTGAAATCAGTGCTGCCACTGAGAGGTTAACAGTTACTGAATCGGCTGAATGGTGCCCCAGTGCACTCTGCTTCTCGTCACTTGGAGCCTTAATCCAGTTTCCAATAAAAGCAATTGTAATGTTGTACTACTGCAATATAAAAGGACCTTCACAAAGCTGCCCTTGCAAGCTGAGAGAAGGCATCAGCTCTAACCTATATATAATAATGTTTTATCTTTGGTACATCTGACACTTATTTCAGCTCTGAATTTGGCCAGAGAATCACAGCAGCTCATGACACAATACTAATACTACGGTTTGATCATGCTGAGACGAATTCAAGGGCAGTGTTGAATCAAAGAAAAAGCTGGATGTTAAGTAAACTGGTGTAATCTGTATGAAGAAGTTGTAAGTAAATTGTGCCAGCTGGGTGAAAGTAAGCAAAACCAGATAACATGTAAACTCCAGATCACAGAAAAGGAGCTATAGTAGAAGGAATGAAAAGGAAGATACCTCATAACCCCTCTCAGGCCTTACTTTTATGCTGCACATGGTGCTATCAATATATGCTCACCTAGACCAACTAACCTTAATTAATACATCACTATCCCATAAATTCTGAATCTGGGCACTGAGATTACACAGAAATCTTTCATTTGCCAAGGAATACAATTGAGATGAATACTAATAGTCATACAAGGGAAAATCCATAGTTCTCACAATCAAAAAGCTGCAGTATTATCAAGTTTTGCACATGTTTTTTCTAAAGAATGTCATGTCAGGCTTGAAATACTTGAGATATTGTCATCATAGCATCCTGTGGGAAGAAATTATTCTATACTGTTTAGCAATGCTGTTCTGTAAACAACGACTAAGCTGTGAATACCACATTCATTGAGCTATTAAGATTTAAAACAGTTTTGAGCCTAGCTGGCTCCCAGAGCAAGAGAAAATTCATTATTATCAAGGTAATATATGCTCAGCTGGATTTATTCTGTGGGTTGATACTATTTTACCATCTCATTGCTGTTTTTTGATTTTGCAGGCAAGAAGAAAAGAAAAGAAAGTCCCAATCTGCTGAAAGGCCTGTGAAAGATGAACGCGTTTTAAACCTGCAGAAAAAGATTGCAGAAAAAGCAATGGAGCGTAAAAAGCAAGAAGAACTCTTAAAGATTACCGCCCCGAAAAGCAGCATCGCACCAAAGAAGGTTGGGACTTACATAAGGAGAAAAGCTCTGTAGTACACCCGCTGTTCACAGACCTTTGCTCCACTGCCAGCGCTGGCAGGGGGCAGAGGCAGATGGTGCCACACATGACTGGCAATAGCAACTCCCTGCTTCCTGTGCAGGCACAATTTTCCCAGACCATGGCCTTGACCTCACCTTCTTGTCACACGTTCTGCTCCCACAGAGCAGGGCTCATGCACGCAACGTTCAGCTTACCACTTGTACTACCACAAACTCTGAAACAGCATCTTACCCCCTAACTCTTGTCTTTCTCAGTCTCCTATCACACACATCCTATTACACCAAACTAGGGTACTCACCCCCTCGCTCACCAAAGGCATATTCCAGTTTCTCATTCCTAGGCTTTTTACCTTGCTTTTCCTCAGCCCAGTCCCACCACATCGAACGGAAGCACCCATAGCCCTGTAGGCTTTAGGCTGGTTCACACTGGTTGTGTTTCCTCTTGTCTTTCTCAGTCTCCTATCACACACATCCTATTACACCAAACTAGGGTACTCACCCCCTCGCTCACCAAAGGCATATTCCAGTTTCTCATTCCTAGGCTTTTTACCTTGCTTTTCCTCAGCCCAGTCCCACCACATCGAACGGAAGCACCCATAGCCCTGTAGGCTTTAGGCTGGTTCACACTGGTTGTGTTTCCTCGGCAAGCGTCTCAAGACAAGCGGTGAGGAACTGCTGCTGCTGCTGCTGCTGCTGCTGCCTCTGCCATTGCCTCATGCATGCATAACATTTAGGAGTGGTTCATATACCAGTAATAGCACACGTACCACAGCATATGGAACACCGCAGTGAACAGTCATGATGGGATCACTCTTTAAAAGCTGTACTAGCCCAGTGTAAAATTAGAACTAAATCTCCCAATCCGTTAAAATAATAGCTCTTTACCTATTCTGTGAGAAAGTTAGATGAAGCTGAATTCACTGAAAAGGAAAACTGTCTTTTTCAAGTGTGTATAGTTTAAAAACCAAAACAGCGAATCCCCATTTCAGGCAAGCAAAACATGTAGGTGTTTATATAGACAACTAGGTCTATCCTTTTTAGCAAAAATCATTGAAGACCTATTTGAAGAAAGCATTTCCTAACTCTGAATGGCTTTCTGAACTGAGATTTTGAATACCTGCTTAAACACTTTACTGAATGGAATCCAGAGTAAAGTAGAAGCAATAAATGCAGGCTTCAGAGGAAAGTAGCCGTATAATTACAAACTTGAGACATTTTTAAAATAAACAAAGAGAAACCTGTAAATCCACAGCTAGAACTGTTGACTACCTGATGTGAATCTGTACGAGTGCCCTGGTGTCATATAAATGAGCAAAAAAGCTAAGGTTTGAAAGTTGTTTTGATGTTAGATTTTGCCTTTTTCTTGAGCTCAGCTTTGCACAGGAAGTCTCTTAAGATGTCACAGTGCTTTTGTTTATGTTCTGCTCAGACGTTAAGACATCTGTAAGAAAAAAAAAAAGGAAGAAAAAACCAATTGAAAAAATTCAAGGTTACTATAAATTATTTAGCTGTTTTGGTGTACCTCCCATCAGTGCTGTCCAGTGGCTCAATTCTGGTCAGATATGTTTGGCAGCATCTTTATTTTAGTTTAACTGCATATACCTGAAAACGGTGTTAGTGTGACTATAGGAGAAAATTCTTCCCTTAATTGTAATGCAATAGGTATCTGGCAATTAGTTTGTACTGCTACCTTTTAGGTTTCTCAATAAGTAGAGAAAAAAAGTGACACTAAGCCCTTGTATTAAGATTCCAAGTCCAGATTATGGCTTTAGTTACATTTGTGATGGCCCTTTAGGCCCAATGGGTTTGTGCTGATATAAGTCAAGGTAACATTTGTTTATAAATCACTACTACATTCTAAATAAAACAGAATTTATATTGCGATTTGGAAAACTAACCAGAAGAAAAACTACCCCTACTGAAAAAAAAAATATTTTTCTAGTATTTTAAGCAAAGAATCAAGGGAAAAAGTAGCATTTTCTGTTTGTTCTGAGCTTTTTTGGGAATGCTCTCTTATGAACCCAGCTTTTCACTCAGCAAACCTGTAGAGTCTGACAGGGTTTGTTCAACTGTTCATTTATGCCTTCAAGAATAATCTGTTAACAAAGAAAGAACATAAGATAGCAGCATCAGAACAAACCATCCAAATGTAGTTTTATCTTGACTTAACATTCTGTGGAGTCTTGCAGCTGTGTTTAATTCATCTTAAACAGGGCAGCCCGCTCAAGTCACCTTTCTGTTCATCATGCCTGGTTTGATGTTGACAAGTTTCCCAATCCTGTTAGTACATAAACTGTGTTGCCAGCCAGCCAGATAATCAAATAGAAGTTCAGTGCATCCTCTAAAGAGAGCCACTGTATTTTCTACAGTCTGATCATCTGTGTCTCTTTCCTGCAGGATTCTTGGCAGTGGAACCACTGGAAAGAACTGGAAAAGAGTCGGGAACGCCAGTTCAAGATCTTTCAACATGGCTCCACAGTCAGAGAAATGGCTCCAAAAATGCTGCCCATGAGGCAGCAAGAAGTGGAGCCACAGTCTGTACATTGCGCTGTGAAGTGAAATAAAAGACATTTGGAACAAATTCAGGCCTGCTGGAAATCTCCCAGTGTGCCTATTTACTACAAGGTTGAATTTTAATCTTTACTTCACCTTGACAGTGTGATTAAAAAAAAACTGGGTCATACAGGCACAATAGAATAAAAATGTGTTAAAATTTTTTTGCAATCGAATTTTATTTTTAAGCTATAATGGTACTTTTTTTTTTCTGTTAGAATCAAAAGCTTTAAGAAACCGAAACCTTACTATTAGAACTTCTACAGCAGAATGGCAAATATGTGAGTAAAGATGTTGAGATTTGTATTTCTGTTATCATTGTATACCATGCAATGGTTTGCTACGTTCATCTTCCAAAAGAATAAAAATGAGGGCTGTCGTGGTTTAGGCCCAGTGCATAACTGAGCACCACAATACCCCGAAAAGGGCTAATCAAAATAAGGGCTGGGAGGGCTTCTCACCACTTTAACAGGTCACAGGCAAAAGACAGACTCATCAGAAGGAATAAAAACAAAACAAGTTTAATTTGTTACCAACATCAGAGTAGAACAATGGGAGATACAACCAGATCTTAAAATCAAAACACGTTCCCCCCACCCCTCCCTTCTTCCCGGGCTCAGCTTTGTTCTCGGTTTCTTCACCTCCCCAGGCCCCGTGCCCTGAGGCGCAGGGGATGGGGGGTGCAGTCGGTTCGTGCCATGTGCTCCGCAGGGGTAGGGAGGACACCCCCCAGCCTCTCTCTGCTTCCACGTGGCGCCCTTTCCACAGGAGAAAAAGTCCTCAAAAGTCCAATACGGGTCTGTCCACAGATGCAGTTTCCCTCATGCACAAAACTGCTTCAGCCCAAGTCCACAAAGCTCCAATCTGGGTCTGCTCACGGTCACAGTTCCCTCACACACGAACTGCTCCAGCCCGCACTGCCCGGAGTCACGGCTTCTTCAGGCGCAGTCAACTGCTCATGTGGTCCTGCCCCACCAGCACCGGTGCACTCCAGGGGCTGCAGGCAGTCGACCTGGCTCTCGCCACGGGTTGCAAAGGGAGGGGGGCTAACCCTGAACCTGGGCTCTGCGTCCTCCTCCTCCCTCTCCTTTCCTTCCTTCAGCCAACCTTGGTGTTCTTCAAAGCTGTTCTCCTCAGGCCCACTCCTTTCTCTGCTGCAGGTCTCTTCTGATGGTTCTGAAGAGTTCCCGACTCTCTCTCTTTTTGAGCTGGAGCTGCAGCAGGGCTTAAGCTTAAGTTCGGGCCGGGGCTGCGCCAGCTGCACCTGGGGCCATGCTGGCCAGAGAGAGAACAAGCATGGCTTGCACCCCCCTTAAATACATGAATTTGCAGGGGCACTGATTGACTTGGCCCTGATCCGAGGTGGGTCTGACAAAGGAAAAGGGGGAGCTTTTCAGGTAGCTTCTTAAAGGGCCATCTTCATATCCCTGCCCCGATTACCAAAGACAACCAAAAACCCCTTACAATAAAACCCAATACAGCACAAAAAACAAGCAACATTTGTTTACATATGCATCTTTTCAGAAGGCATGCTAAGCTAAGTTCTTAACACATCTTCTTAAATGACAGTAACTGTGTAAGAGGATCACCAGTTTCAACACTGGTTTTAAAGAATGAGGGAAAAACTGTTTAGAAGGTTTAGATGATGGTTTAGATGATGTGATAACCTCCAGGAGACAGAGTCTAGATTCAGTGACCCAGACAGACCATGCCTCTATTCACAGATGTGAATCTCTTCAGTCTTTAAGCAGAGGAAGGAGAACACAACATTGCTTGATCTCTTTAGGGAGCTGCTTACAGTAAAAATCCAAACTCTGTTACTCACCTAGAGGATAATTTGCCCTCTATGACAATTTCTATACTCTGCAAACAGCCCTTAAATCACAAGACTTATTCTAGGCAGAAAGCCAAGGAGGATATAAATCTGAATTAAAATCTGCACAGCAGTAAGACTATGTAATGTATTTCTATTTTAACTCGATGCCAGTTACTAAGTGTTTAATTATGGCTGTTGCAAATATTTAAATTGAAGGAGACTGTCGCTGACATTAGAGTCAGGCAGCTGCTTTTAATGCTCTCACAACATTACATTTCTCACTTTTTACTGAAGGAAACCTAATGGAATTCTTTTGTTGCCACCTAGCTGTGAAGATACTTTTCACAAGCTGATAAAATGTGCTTTATTTTTCATTCAAAGGAAATGCTACAGTAGTCTGCTAAAGTAACACAGGACTCATGCTCAGTAGGAAGAGTTAAGGAACATAGGAGAGTAAATGAAGGAATGGTAGCAAAACTACAGAGAAGAGGTAACTGTGACACTGTGTCTAGTAGGACACTGTAATAGCTTAAAATGACAAACCCTTGGCAGCAGGGAGTTTGTCTCCCTTTGCGGTTGTTCAGCATTCTGTGGCATTGTATTCCAGAACAACAAAGCCAAGTGGTGACTGTAACACCTCGGCTTTCCAGAAGCTAGCAATTAGCAGGGCTCACGGTCATGGTCTGGGATATTCTGTTGCTGAGTAGTTCCTCTTGAAATCTCTGTTGATGTATCTTGCATTTTGAGAATTAAAAAAAAAATCATCATTAAGCAAATACAGAGGCAGCTGTATTTAGGGAGGTAAAGTGGAAATTTCAAAATTCTATCATACTGCACGCTTCTTCTCTTGGGATGTTGGGCCCAGTTTTCAGAATTCTTACTGAATTGCAATCAAGCTGATTCATAACTATTTCCTTCTCACTGCTCTCATATGAAAGAACTGAGGAATAGAGCAATCTCAATAATCCAGCTGTGGAATTTTTACCTTCAGAAGTCACAAACAGCCCTATTGCTACTTTAGGAACTGATGCATAAAGTCATCATCAGAATCAGGGTTTTGAAGAATGTAGAGGAATGTGAGTCTTTCAGGAAAAATATGGAATATGGAATATTTTTATATCAATGTGGCCTATTGATTTTTCAGTGATCATAGAAACATAAAATGGTTTGGGTTGGAAAGGAACTTCAGGATCATCCAGTCCAACACCCCTGCCATGGGAAGCCTTCCACCAGACCAGGTTGCCCAAAGCCCCATCCAACCTGGCCTTGTACACTTCCAGGGAGGGGGAATCCACAACTTCTTTCAGCAACCTGCTCCAGTGTCTCACCAACCCAATAGTGAAGAATTTATTCCAATGTCATTCAAGGAAACTTGCGGTGATCCAACACAGAGCCAGCAAAGGACTGGTAGGACTTATTAGCCTTATATTACAAAAGGAGCTGTAATGCCATTGGAGCTAGGTGAGCAATGCAGCTGCATTCATGCTGCTGCCTCAGCTGGTGCCTGTGGCCATCCACAACCTGGTTAATCCACACACAGATAATTGAAAGTCAGCAATGTCTCTACAATCACTGCAATCCACAGAAACAAGGGTGCATGAATAATAATTATTCATTCATTTACACACTTGTAACACTATTTGCAGCCAAGAAGATGAGGGTAAGTGAACAAGGCTGACTCTTAAATCATCTGACAAAACACACAAATTCAGAGGTTTCACCTGTCAGATCTTAGTGACAGACTCATTTAAAAACCCTTTTAGGACCAAAAGCTGCACATTTCAGAGGTCTGTTATTTCAGTGTAAATGCCCAGACTACAAAAGCCTTCACATGTAACTACAGTGTAAGGAGGCCCGGATTACCTGAGGAAGACGGAGAAGTTCAGCCCTGTGCTGAGCTTCGGACACAGTGCTCACACCTCGTGTAACACAGGCGCTGCTGGGTGGCACTTGGCTCCCTCTTCCAATTCAGCCCCAGTAATGAGGCAAAGCCCATGCTGACTGCCTGGCCAGGTAATCCAACCTGCCCCAGAGAGCACAGATATTTTATTATTTAAATGAACCCAAAGACACGGAGACAAGTATGTTGTAATGGCAAGCAAAACCCCCCAAACTTTGTACAAATCTTGAGTTCTGTTCACCCAGGGGAGGAGAAGGCAAGAAAAGTCACCAGGAAGAGCTACGAGTTTAGCTGCAAACAGCAAAGCGACAGTAAGATCCAGGAAAGGCCAGATGATCCTGGCGTTACACCAAAGCAGTTGGGGAAAACCCTTTTTGATGGTGAGGTGAGGGCATCAGAACACCTCTGCAAGGGTTTGTAATGACTTACGTAGAGGACCTGGACTAATTATACCACAGGCAACAGGTAAGGATCCTCCAAGCTGATGGTGTTGATGAATTTTGAGCAGTGGGTTGGAAACTTTTCGAGAAGACCGACTTGGGGGGAAACCCCAACACGCACCCCACACACCTGTACAACAACATCGCCGAACTAACCCTGGGACCGAGGAAAGGTTTCCAAGGGGCAGCCACGCACTCCCGCCCAGACCCGGGGCCCCCCGCCGTGAGGGCGCTGCAGCCCCCGGCAGCCCGCCCAACTACAACTCCCAGCACACCCAGGCCCGGAAAAGAGGTGGGGCCGCTGCCCTTAGCGTTCCCTAATTGACGTGCGCGACGGCCATTCCGTGAACAGCAACATTTCGGTTCCCCCAATGGCGGGAGAGTGGGGGCGGGTGTTGCCTTACGCCGCTGCCGGGCCGGGTGTTGAGAGTGAGTGCTGCAGGCCGGGGACCTCTGTCGCGGGGTAGGAGCGGCGCCCGGGAGCGGCGCCGGCATCCCCGGGCCCGCCTTACCTCT